CCTGTGGTGATCTTTAATCGAATACCTTATTCTCAATTAATTGTGCTGGTTATTATCGATCCTATATACTTATACATTCTTGTTGTTATTATTGCTTCAACTTACAGTCACGGCAAACCGAGACTATTTAACAAGAAAGAGAGAAGAGAATACTATTAGCGATTTAAAAAAAAAATTGGCAACGAACCTTTATTCAGGTGTTCAAATATCCTTTGCACCTCTCTTAGGGGTGTACATTGTTGTAAAATCTTTTATTACGGTTTGATTTCGACAAATCTTTTTATTGGATAGACCTCTCAAAAAGGCACTAAAACTAAGGGACATTCATTTTATAGGATCGTCTTAAAACAACAGCATTAATAAATATTAGTATTCGAAAGATGTTAAAAAAAAATTAAAATATAAATTAACGAGTGAATTTGACTGGCGAATAGTCGCTTTTCCATGGCAAACTTGGTTTCAGAAAGGAAACAGTATGCCGACGTCAATTAATTTTGATATTTCTGTTATGTTCATTATTAGATGAGGATTAAAAATCATTTTTAATTAAAAGTTACATCGTTGTAAAGTCTGCTTAGTTCATATAGAATCCTCTCTAATCATATTTAATTTTAAGAAAATCGTTAGTGTCATTCAACAAACATTCTAAGTAATGCTTAAGCGTGGGGCCTGCGATATTTCGAACACCCTGTATTCAAAATTAGTATAGTTAGGTTTTATGTAGTCCTGAATAAGAAATCGTTGACGCTTGATTCTTTTTAAAATCCGTAATAGTACTTCTCTCTATGTTGTTAAATAGTCTCAATTAGCTAAGACTTCAAGTTGAAGCGATAAGCAAAACAGTACATTTCTAGGAGACAAAGATTTTGCAAGGGTGTACAATTCCTAAGTGGGACACACTGTAGATATCCTTGTCACTGTAACTTTTCTATAAGTTCCATGTTGCACTCATTGCCCTCAAAGCACTCCACAACTTATTGAGGAATACAGTACCGTATGCTTTTTGTAAGTCGATGAATATAATGTGGCGTTTCCAAATTATTTGCATTATGTTTTTCAAAAGATACAGCATCCGTTATAATAACTCACGCGTCATCTCGCGGAAACACGCGCGTATTTATAAATATGTATTACGAAATTTCTCTTCGACCGACGAATATTCCCAATTAGGCAATCGAAAAACGAAAGTGAAATCCCCCGTGCCCGATAAACTTCAATGTTTATATGCGTCGTACGCCGTTTTGCTCTATAATTTCACCTTTAAATTGGAACATTAGCCGTGATCGAGCACCTAAACGACGGATAATTAATTTTAAAAGCCGTTCATGTGTGCGTGTGTGGCGGAAAAAGTTCGCGCTCTTCGCTCGCGTCTGAAGTTCATTGCCGTACTTTCTCCGGTCGGATGAAACGCGTTCCGGGACCGTTTATCTATAAATCGTGAAAACGCGTGGAATCTTTCCGACGATTTCTTCCGTATATGTGCAGCCGGTATTTTCTACATACAGTGTGTTCCACTTAAGCACCGTACACCCTTGTAAAATCTTTGTTTATGGTTCGAGTTCTCTGATAAATGCACTAAAGTCTTGTTTTGCTAATTGCTTCAACTCAAAATCTAACTAACAACTAACAAAAGAGAGAGAAGAGAGAAGTACTATTAAGGATTTTTTACAAAATAAATTGGCAAAGAATTCTTATTCAGGAGTACTTAGAACCCAACTATACCAATTTTTGTAATGTTTCGATACAGGGTGTTTGAAAAATCGTTTGTGCGCAAAATGTTTGATTACCTACTAAAACCGTATGTTTCTTATTACATCAACCTGAAGGCATGGCTAACGGAGACTAATATAATTTATGGCTCAATGTTGATAATTCTTTTTTGTTGGATAGATTTCACAGCAAGACACTAACGATTTTCTTAAAATTAAATACAATTAGAGACGATTAAATATGAACTAAACAGATTTTAGAACGCTGTTTTTTTTTTTAATTAAAAAGGATTTTTCATTCTCAAAATGTATTGAGGTCGACATATTGTTCACTTTGTAAAACCCAGTTTGCCATGGAAAAGCGAATATTCAGCAGTCAAATTCACTTGCTACCTTATATTTTAATTTTGCTTACATTATGTCTTTCGAATACTAAGAATTATTAATGCTGTTGTTTTAAGATGATTATTTTTGACATTTGTATAATTAAAATTTGTTAAATCTTAAAATCACATACAAAATAATTTTTATTTACAAGGTTTACAATATTTATTTCTTTAAACATTCAAAAACTTGGTCATTGGTCTAATTACTTTTAGGTACTCTTGAACACAAATCTGTTTTCATTTTCAATATGAAGAAATCTCTAAAAGTACTTCTCGATTTTCCGCTTCAAAAAACTGTGTCAGTTAGCCATCACTTTAGAGGATGCTAATATTAATATGTATTCATCCAAAAAGAATTATCAAAATTCAACATTCTACAGAAGTAATGCTTAGGTTGATGTAATGTATCCAAAAAAAAAAAGAAATTATAAAAATCAAACCGTAATCCAACATTTTACAACGATGTAAAGCCTTAAGCGGGGCGCAAACGATATTTCAAACACCCTGTATTGTAACATTATAAAAATTGGTACAGTTGGGTTCCAAGTACTCCTGCCAATTGCCAATTTAATTTTTTTTTTAATCCCTAATAGTACTTCTATCTTCTCTCTCCTTTGTTAAATATCACTTGGCCATGATTTTAAGTTGAAGCAATAAGCAAAACAAGGTTTTAGTGCATTTTTCAGAGACCTACATTTGTGTACATTTCTTAACTCTAGATATGCCGGGTTACCCAAACCCGACGGCCTATCAAAACTAGATTTTCAAAAATCTAGTCGCGGTTCATCTCATTTTGGAACATTCGCGAATTAACTTGTTACAGATAGAGATGCCAATTTATTTATTTTTTAATCCCTAATAGTACTTCTCTCTTCTCTCTCTTTTGTTAAATCTCACGTGGCCATGATTTTAGGTTGAAGCAATAAGCAAAACAAGGATTTAGTGCATTTTTCAGAGGCCTAACCAACAAAAAAAATCTAAATCGAACCATAAACAAAGTTTTACAAGAGTGTACATTTCTTAACTCTAGATATACAGGGTTACCCAAACCCGACGGCCTATTAAAATTAGATTTTTAAAAATCTAGTCGCGGTTCATCTCATTTTGGAACATGCGAAAATTAACTTGTTACAGATAGAGATGTTAAATAATTCTAAAAAATATGTGTTTTTATTTTTATAGACCCGAAAATTAAAAATTTTACAATAATAATAAACAGTACCCGAAAAGACTCTAAAATTTGTGAAAGTCGTTCAAAATAGCAACTTAACTGGGTTGATCATGTCGAGACAGTTTGTGAGAAATTGAACTGCGATTATTATGCTCTTATAAACCTCAAACATGCTGTAGATAACAAGGCCTTTTAAGTGCCGATGTTATTCAATAGTAAGCTATAACATAAAAGAGAATCATAAGATAAATATTTTGGTTGAAATCCTTTAGAATCATTTGGGCCGACGTTAAAAAAACATGATCTCATTAATTCGCATTTACTTACTAAAGATACTGTGTATTCTGGCGTAGATATTCGTATTACACAGTAGGAGACTTAAAGATCAGACTAGAATTAGATGTCAACTAAAATTAAATGCTTATCAAAAATCACCAGAATATGCAATAATTACCCTCAGAGTTGCGAGGGACTACCAGTCCCTCCATTTATAAGAGAAAATTGGAAACTTTTCTGGTAACACAGGCATTCTATTACTATATTTATGTTTTTTACCTTGCTTCTTTGTCCAACACATGTATTTGTATCTAGTTCAATCAAGCTTGTTATTATTATTATTATTGTTATTATTATTATTGTTATTATTAATATTATTGTTATTATTAATATTATTGTTATTATTATTATTATTATTATTATTATTATTATTACTATTAATATTATTGACACATCTACTAGAATCACACACCACGCTCCTTCTCTTAATGGAGTTCCATGTATTATGTTATTATTTTTCTAGGATTGTATAAGACATTCCACAACTTTGTATGTAAAATATAATATAGCTGCCTTAAGCAATTTTGAAAATAGAAAATTAATTTTTAGAAAATTTGACGAACATCAACTATTATGAAAATATTTAGAGTTTAACCATTTCAGGTAAAAATCAGAAATTCAAATTTTTTTTCCATTAAGTATTACATTTTACAATACCTTTGGATCAAGAATGAAACATTCCTTATATTGTAGTAATTCCATTGAAAATTCCCAAACTTATATTTATATATTTAACAAAATTTCAAAGATAGTTGAAACTCAATTATTTTTATAATCGATGCTTTTCGCACCACAGACCACATTCAGTCTTTTTTTTTAATACCTTTCCATCTCAAAATTTAGAATTTTCGTACTTGATTAGTTGGCAAATCTTCTCTCAATCTATCCGAATTACTTTATTTTATTTAATTATTAATTAATTATCTTATTTAATCCACTGACTTAATCCTGTACTTTAAGGTGCAACTCGAGTACTGGTTTTCAAGTAAAAAGTCTATTGAAAATTTATTAAATTCCGCTATTGTCTGGTGTATTAAATACCTTGTTGTACAAAAACAATCCATAATAGAAAGGTAAAAAAAAGAAGGGCAAAATACTGACAAATCTCCTACCTGAAAATTAAAAATTTTGAGGTTGTTTTTTTTTATAATAACCGTCTATGACCATCTGTTATATTTTGTGTTTCGTTTTTTTGACTTTGAAATTCGAAGAGAAATAAATAAAATCGTTCATCATCTATTTAATTAACTTATTTAATAATATTAATGAAACAAAATGTATGTGCAGTTGGTCGCTAGCTTTAAAATATTGGTAGTATAGTTATCGATAATTAATAAGTTTTGAGCAATTTCAATATCTTTCTCGTATTTTCAATAATTCTGTGCCTTTTCGTTCAAGGTTGCTCTACTGGTAACGCTACATGTTACGTGGACATGCGGTAAAGCCGTGGTCAGCAAAAACGATGTTAATGAACAAACCGCCGATATAAAACAGTAAGTTAGTTGTGGTCATACATTATTTGTGTTAAAACTCATTGTTACTAAGACGCTCACACTGAGCGTCTTAGTAACAATTCGCGAAGATTTATGAAGATAACTAACCAAAACTGTGGAGGGTAGACGGTCACAATATTTTAAGTATATTTTGGAAATTGCGGTGTTGTCAGATCTACCTGAAAACAGTAGCAACTTCAAAATTTTAAACGAATTCTAAGTAATAACCTAATGATTAAATGATTAAAAAATTTAGGAAAAAGTTTTGTGGAAAAAATGTCTGGAATGATATTTTGCATCCGAATTTTGGAACGAAAATAACAAAAGCGACTGCACATAAAAAATGTATCCACTTTGTATATTTGATTTTAAAATTATGTTTCTACCACCATTCCGTTTTTTCAGAGCTGCACAAAGAAGAGTTGGATATGACTATACTCCTGCCGGTTTAAGCGACGGCTATGACGGAGGCCCAGAGATTCCTTCAGGTTCCGGCGCAGCATTCGGTGGCGATGCTTCCGCTCATATATCACTTGACGGTGGGGGGGTAGACGTGCAACACGTAGATGTTCACCAAGTAGGTATTCACACCGATGTGCAACACATTGCCGATGTTGAACATCATTATGAACATCATGATCATTACGATCATCACGATCACCACGACGTTGTCGATCATCATGATCATCACGATCATCATGACGGTTATTGGAAGAAAAAGGTAAGTGTCCATTACTCTTCCAATTTAGAATATTAGTGTATCTCAATCTCAGGTAACGTGGAAGAAAGGTTGGAAGAAAATTTGGAAACCGGCGCAGAAGAAAATTTGGAAACCACAATGGAAAAAATACTGGAAACCGATCTGGGTTCCCACACAAAAACCGGCATGGAAAGAAATTAAAGTACCCGATTGGAAGAAGATATGGAAGCCGGTTTGGAAACAAATTCAAGTCCCCGCGTGGAAAGAAATTCAAGTGCCGGACTGGAAGAAAATTTGGAAACCGGTATGGAAACCCATTCAAGTCCCCGCGTGGAAGGAAATCCAGGTTCCCGACTGGAAAAAAATATGGAAACCCGTTTGGAAAGAAATTTCTGTGCCCGCATGGAAGGACATTCAGGTGCCGGCCTGGAAGAAATACTGGTATCCCGTTTGGGTTAAAGAAGGTATTCATGGAGACCATTATTTAGGAAAGGATCATGAAGGTAATGAATATACGGCGCACGACATCTGGAAGAAGAAAATAGTTTGGAAAGCGGCTTGGAAAAAATATTGGAAACCAGCCAAAAAGCAAATCTGGGTTAAAGATAAAAAGCTTGAGTGGAAAGCCGCATGGAAACAAATATGGAGAACGGAAAAAAAGCAGATTTGGGTAGCTGACAAGAAGTTGGTATGGAAAGAAGCGTGGAAACAGATTTGGAGAACTGAGAAAAAGCAAATTTGGGTGGCTAGTAAAAAATTGGAATGGAAAGAAGCGTGGAAACAAATTTGGAGGACAGAAAAGAAGCAGATCTGGATTCCCGATAAAAAATTGGAATGGAAAGAAGCATGGAAACAAATCTGGGTGCCCGACTGGAAACAAATTTGGGTTCCCGCGTGGAAGGAGATCTGGAAACCAGTCATTATCCAAGAATGGTTCCCTAATCCGGATCATCACGACCACCACCATGAAGAACATCATGGTTGGGATAGATCGGATCAAGTGGACGAATTGAAGTTCGGTAAAGTGCCTACAAGTAGTGTCGTTAGTAATAGAAACACTAGTGACAATACCCAGAAAAGCCAAAGCAATAAGAGTTAGTGTTTGTTGACTGCTTGAAGTGAACGTCGTACCTTATATTACTGTATATACTAGTATGTAAATAATTTTACTTTTTTATTAGACTGATCGTAGGTTGTAACTAATTCAGCGCCGTCCGCTTGGATCGAGATAGAAATCAATTTCCTAATAGATCTGTCTGTAGAGTTTTAATGCCTCTTTGTCAAGAATGCTTTCATAAATTTTGAAGTATTATGAAAGATTTGAAGCTATAATGATAAGACGTAATGACCTTTAATTATAAATTATTAGGCGACCTATTTCAAAACGAAATTAAAATAGGCATGCAGACAGTTCTATTTAAGTGGGTGACACTTAACGCTTATTCTATTTGTTGAACTACTTTGTTAAATGTCGTTATTACATATTTAAATAAAACAAAATCAACTTCGTCTTATGTTTTTAAGATTCTGTGTTATTGAAAGAATTCCCAAGAACTAAAAAACTAAGAAACACAACAAATAAACTGTAAAACGATAACAACTTTATTGAAAACAACCACAATTGTAGGCAATAAGAACACAATACACATAATAAATAAAAATAATTAAATAAAATATCACTAGAGAATAAATCACATTTTGCCGAGCCAATTTGGAGCATCTGCTATGTACTACTTTTGGGGTTTCGTATTTAGAACCGAGAGCAATGCGTAAAGTGTACAGTTGTACATGGAGATGTTCCCCAGAAGAGTGGTGCTCGAGTTAATTGGGTCTAACCGAATTTCGTTGGAACTTTTGGTATAGGCAACCATTCTCGGGTTTCTACCGGAGTCCATACCTTTTTCCAAACCGGTACGTATACCTAAAAGGTCCCAAACATTATCAGTTCAGCGTTAGTTGAAAAAATTAAGTTTGTTGGAAATGGAAATCATTGAAATCTCCAATTTTCCATTTCAAAAGTGTTAGTGCTCCACGCCATGGAAAAGTGATTTTTACTATGTGAAGTCGAAGTTGAAGGGAAAATGAAACATACGGAAATTATAATACTCGTTTCCTAATTTTGAGCAATATATAAAGAGACATTTTCCATAAACTCTTATAATGTTCAATGAACAATATGTTTTAAAAGATGATCTGGATTCTTCATTTTCAAACGAACAATTATTCCATTTCTATCGAATAGAAACTGGAATAGCAAAGACGTCATAGAAAAGTGAGTGAAATTGTACAATGGAAAAAGACGGGTTAATGGCTTTTCTCTTGTCCATTTATAGACATGTTATTGTTTAATTATTTTATTTATATAATAATTCTTACTGAAACCATTTACATATGTCAATTTCAGTTTTATTATTTGATGATGAAACAAACTAAATATTTGTAAAAAATAATTGGCCCTTTTTACAAATCTGCTGGATTCTTCCTGCGTCAGTTTTTGCTAAGCCGAAATTGCCGACGTTTAGCCAATCATCCTGTTGGCTTCTTCAGTTTCAGTCAAGCTCTGAAGAAGCCAACAGGATGATTGGCGAAACGTCAGCAATTTCGACTGAGCAAAAACCGACGCAGGAGGCACCCAGAAGTTTTGTAACAAGTATTACCCTAGCCTCTGGAAATTTCTTTGAAAAATATAATTGGTGATTTTAGCCATTCAAAATTATTAATCATACGTATTTATATATTTTACTTATATAGGGCGGTTCAATGTTGGAAATAAAGGGTAGTACGTCAACCATCAGGGATATATCACGCTACAAATATCGCGGAAAAATAAAGTTTTTAAATTTTAATATTTTTGAACGGTACTTATTAGTTTATGAATTAGCGTCATAAATTTTCATTAATCAAGTATTTTCAAAACGTAATTGCAACAAAAAAAATATAACAACATCCAACTAGACCGTTTTTCTAAAATAAATTTATTTTTCTCAACATGCGTTTATTTTTTTATGTGGAAATATGTGGAAAAAACCTGGCTATCAAAATGTTTAATAAAAAATTTTATTAAAATTTAAAAAAATTTAATTAATAAGTACTCATTCTAATAAAGTCAAAAAATATACAAATAACATAAAAAAAGAGGTTATTAATCAACTAATTATTAGAACGTAGGTATTCCACATGCACTGTTACCGCTATAAACAGTCCATTTATATCACAACCACTTAGTTCAAATAAAATAGGAATAAATGGTCTTATTATAGTTATCTGCCATTGCTGTTAATGTGTATGACAAAGAAAAGAATCCCCATATCAGCCGGTCTGCCTCCAAAGGGAATTTACCTCACAAAATTGATATTGGCGCTACAGCACCTAATCCAGTTGAGATCGTGTTTATTACATTAAAAAAAGCATCAATACCTTTTTGACTTCCCAGTGCTTGACCCAATGGGCTTTCCATTGTACTTTCGATTTCCAAACACCGTCCAAACGAGGATCTTGATGCGATATTTCTGACCTGAACATAAAATGTGCCTAGTTATTTTTAGATATAAAATATTGTTTGGAATAGATCGACTATCTCATTAAAGATTACATTTCGGTAATTTGATAAACAAAATCCTAACTGCTTTTATAAAAATATTTTGAAAATATGTTAGGGATATTGAAAGAGTTTTTCGAATGAGTTCGGACTTTCATTAAAAAACAATGTTGGTACCGCGGCACTATCTACAATATAGACGTTACAAAGAAGTAAACATTTCTTATGATAATCCCAAATTTTCAGCTTTTTATCGCCAATGCGCGTAGGGCTAGAAGGCAATATTTAGAACACGCTTCTTAAGCGTAGGTATGGTCTGTTCAGAGATATAAGAAAGCGACCAATTTCCTTTGAACGGATTATCCAAGGGTGGTCATTAACATACGATGCAACAAAATTATTACCTTAATTAATAATTAATTATTTATTCAATAATTACCTTAATTAAAAATAATAATCTTGGATAATCCGTTCAAAAGCAATTAGACACTTTCTTATATTTATGAACAGATCATACCCATCATTGATTATCATTTCTATTTATATATCTACGCAATCTATTAGCAAAGTAAATGTCCAACGAAATTTGCGCTTAGTGTGCGCTTTTGAACTTTCGAGAAACTTATAGTAATACAATGAGTAAAAAAACTGCAATGAATTGCAAGTTTGCGGAAGACTGCCGCAGGCTCTCTGTTACAAGTTGATATTACGGCTTGGCAGATTATTTAACTCCCACATCTTGCTTATTCGCTCACCGTCCGCTCAAAGTTAGCTATTACATTTCAAGTTTTTTTAAATAAAGTCATCCAAAGTATTTTTTACGCCCTTCTCTAAAATAGCTCCATTATGCATTGTTCAGGCGTGTAGAAAATTACTAGCCACTTCAGGCGTTTCCGGTATTTTGGAAACGATGGTTTATTGACGTTTATCAATTCTGATGCATCCGAAAAACTAATTTTTGTAGAAAAAGTATAGTATGCAAAAGGTTGATAAATTTCTTCTTATTAAACACAAAAATAATCAAAGCCGTGATTAAAGTAGCGTTCATTAAACTTTTAACTTAATACACTATAATAATTGTTATAGAATAATCTTTTCTATTAGGAAAATACTTTTAATAAACTTATCAATGTCATAGTGTTAGAAATGTCATAGTGTTAGAAAAGATTATGAAGCTTTCCTCATTAAACTTCATTAAATACTCGCTCCTATACCAACTCATGACTAAAGTGACTTATATAAAATTAACTTGGGAATATTTTTGGTTCAAGCAAAGATTATATTTAGTTGACGTATCATACCTATACTTTCCATCTGATGACTAGAACAGATTTAGCTGGAAACCTTCCAAGTTAAAATTAAAATAGGCGTCTACATTTAAAAAAACAAAATAAAATGATTTCTCTTCAAACTTGAATACCCTGTTGCTCAAAAGTTAAGAGGTTTAGGATTTTTTGGAACTCACATCTTGTAATCACCTAACCAATAATACACTTAAAGATCTTACTATGTTTTTCACATAAAATTTGATTTTCAACTAATATGTATATAAAAATCCACCAAAACTTATCGTAGCTAAAACTAATGTTTCAAATTCAAATTCGAAATCCAAACAATTTTTTCGTCAAAATAAGCAGCACTTTTTTAACAAAATATTGTTTATAAGAAACCCTGTATTTCACTTGTAAAACACAAAAATTTGGCGTAATAAGCAAGCTTCGTACCTACCTGGAATTGGTGTAACTGCCACAAATCTCGGGCACCAGCACGAGCAAAACTGCAAGGAAAATCAACACCTAGAAGGAAATACATTCACCACCGAGATAATGCCGCCATTTCGTAATCATTTTTTTCAATCACTTACATATATTTTCATTTTTTTTAAACGAGGGTTATTTAATCGAAGACCTTGGGAGCTTGAACCATTTTACATTAATCGAATTGTTGTCTACACTTGCAGCGCAAGAAAATAACCTGTCGTTTATATATGTAGTTTGTGAAATTTTCTTCAGATTTGCATTTTGACATTGAAAGTGTTCCAAATTTTTGCTTTCTGGGTCGAGATGGGTTTGAAACTATTTAAAATTTAAGTCTCATACTGGACTGGTGCTTTATGATCTCTTAATAAGACATTCTCTGTTTGTTAGAATAATAATAAGCGGTGCGATGCACGACGACAGAATTAAAAAATAAAATATTCACTAATCGAATTTGTTGTGAAGAAACTCTATGTACCTACACATATATTGAGTATACATTATAATTTACTCAAACACGTACCTGGATTTACAAATAAACAATAACACTATAACATAAGAAGCATTGTTAGGTACGTGGTGGGCCAAACAACTTGTACGATTTTAAAAATGTTTAGTCCACATCACATAACAGCTGTTCTGTTTGCTGTGCGTCGGCCAGATAGGTGCATAAATAAACACTAATTACTGGTGCAACGAAGTATAAAATTAATTTATGTCAATATCGACAAAGAACTAAATTATTTCAACCAGCATTGCAGAGGAAAAATTCGCAAAGTTCTTTTTTTAATATCAATAACAAATTATGTTTATTAGGTGGTCAATTAAACTTAATTTGATTTCAATTTTGTCCCTTTTATGTTCGGGATTTGCTTTCTATTGATCTATTAAAATAATTGGCGTGATTTGAATATACTTTAGTTAATTTAACCCTGTAAATTAATTATGAAAATTATATGCGCTTGGTGTTTCATTGTGATTAGCGACATATCGATATTTATTTGAAAATAGAACAAATTTTTAAAAAATTAACTTGGATTCGTAATAATACAGCATGAGTTGCCACTATAGCTGACTTCTTTATAAGTGACGTTATCCTGACAGTCAATTATTTCAATTTATTTTAAAAAATCTAGTTTTTAAAAATATGACGCTATGTATATTTGCGAGCCATTTTTTTTTTCAACATAAACAACATTTTCTTCAATTTTTTTGTATGTTCGCAGTATATTAAAAAAAATAGCAACTGTATGTTTGTTCGTGCTGCATACTGATTCATATCAACACAAGAAAACACGAACTTCATTATGAATAAGAACTTTATTTCTGCTTATTTTTCTTAGTTGAGAAGTGAAGCACCAAATAGATTTCAAATTAGTTATTCTTTCGACACATCAATACTTTCTGTATCTTTTTCTTCATCATTGCAGGATAATGTAATGGGCAATAAATCTCCCCACTTAGACGATCTTGCGCAGTGGTAAGTTGTCCTAAAATTACAAATTGGAACCAAAATTCGATACAAAAAAAAATCTTGTTCTACACACTTTCCATGTCTGGCTTTAGTAAAAATTACTTCTTGCAGTTTTCCATCTGGCACACACATTCTACAAATTGTATGTCTAGGCTTTACGAGTACAGGCTTTACAATTCTCGGCCATTCTACATCGTTAGCATTCCGTTCACCTAATGAAAAGTCAACTTGGTGGTTTGTCATGAGAATTTCAAGTCAATACCTTTCTTTAAAACCACATAGGAGTACAATTCCTTTCGAGTACTAGAGGATGCTCCCACAGGCATAGAAACATAATTAACTTCAAAGTTACAGGGTGTTCCATCGCTTAGTACATATTTAGGACACACATTATCATGTGGACACTAAAAAAATACTGTCAACATCTTCAGTTAATCTGGCTTTCTAATACTTACAGGGCTAAATATGTGTCCCTTATTGCCTTCTTTTTTAATATGCAAGATAAAATCACGTGCCTCATTTACTACCTAAAACTCTTACATTAAACAGAAACTAGTGATTTTTTAATTTTAAATACTTTAAATCCTGCAGTGGTGCCTTGTTCAATTATCACCAAATACTGGTGTGTTTTATTCCACAGATTTAAAACCGTTTCTAACCTAGCACTTGTAGATGGCAATTCAAGTAATGAATAAGCAGAAACTACCAAATCATAGCTGGCCTAAAAATGTTCATTAACATAAACACTAACATTGAATAAAATATCCAGTAGCAGAAAAAATATAAAAATACATACACTCGATGCAGGCAGGAACTGCCTAAAAAAAACTCCTTTTAGAGATATGGGTGCAGTTTTTCTGCCACCTTTTAGTAGCAATTCCGCTAAATCATTCATATCCCTGGAGATGTCAACGTGAAAATACTCGAAAATATATTTTTTCCAATATCTACTTGCTGCCCTAAGACAGTAATACAGTAACACTCTAAAACTATCTATAGCTTTGGATTTTACCATGTTACAGTTCCAACTCCAGAGCCAAAATCAAATAAACTCCTGGGATTAAACTCTGGATCTCTATCAGCTATGTCGCCAAAAATCTTAGTCAAAACCGAGTATTCTGCAGCTGACCTCCCAATAAGATACACTAAGGACAGAAATGCATCATACTTGACTGCTTTCCAGTTGTTAATTTTACACCTTAAAATATTTGATACTTTGTTATTGACCATTTGACGAAATCTATGTTCATCATTTTCATCTTTTATTGGGACTTGCTTGTGTTTGAACAATACTTTCTGATGCGCCAGTCGAGTTGCCTCTTTAATATCCTGCTCTTCCATTGGAGGAATCTTTAACTTTAAGTGTTTTTGCAAATCCAGGCTTGCTTCGACTAATGATTTTACAGGATAATCTAAAACAACAACAAATGTAGCTGCATAATTGCATTGGAAAGCAAAGACCTACCCTCCATAACATTCAGAACCGCTTTAACAAAAGATTCTGGAATGTGAACGGTTCTGGTTTTCGAAACGCCAGGATGCCTTCGTGGTTTAAACACCAAATTAGTAATATCGTTTAATACGTTTTCGTCTAAGGCGACCTTCGGTTTGGTCGAATATTTAGGGTACTGAAACATATATCAGAGCAAATAGAATAACAAATACATATGAAAAACAGCATACAGTTTTTAAACAAAGGGCACAAGTGCGCCTAATGGAACTCAAAAACATTGTTTCTAGAGAGAATTTCAAGGAACTTGAATAACCAAATTTTTTAGGTTAACTTCACAGAATGTAGATTGAAATAAATTACTATACATCTAATGCGCCATTAAACAACATTAACTTATTTTTTATTACCTCAAATATTCTTTTTAGTGTTTGTTATCTTAACAATTTTGCAGTTTTAATGATTACTTGCGAAAAATACATATTGTTTTCTGCAAACCGAAATTAATTTTCAATTCCATAGTCCACGTCCGAAACAGCTGAAAAAACGACGCCCATTTTCACATGGACGTCATAAAGTTTTGACGTCTATGTGTTTATAGCTTTGAATGTAATTTATAGAGAAAGTTGAGCAAGACATTAAGCAAACAGAAAAATTTACAATGAAGTTTGCTGAACATCTTTCAGCGCATATTACTCCGGAATGGAGAAAACAATATATAAATTACGAGGTAATTAAAAATTTTAATCTTTGGAAATCCTAATTGTAATAATGAAATACTTGCTAGTATAAAAAATATTTGTAGGAAATGAAATCCATGTTATACGCGGCTGTGGAACAAGCGCCTTCGGCAGAAGTTGTAGAACCCGATATTTTAACGCGTTATTTTGCAAAATTCGATGAGCAGTTTTTTACCTATTGCGACAAGGAGTTGACTAAAATAAATACATTTTATTCCGGTACGTAGTTATTATCACATATATTTCAATAATTATATAAAATTAAACTGCATCCTAATTTTTCCAATTTTTAAAAACAGAATCCGAAGGACAATAACTGTTAGACTAAATTTGTTTTTTACAGCTCAGTTAAGTTTTTATTAATTTTTAAAAGATCAACGGTCCGTAGAGACTTTATTTTCAAAAAAATTATATTGTACCTTACGTATACATTTGTTTTCATAGAATTTATATATAAATAGTGTAGCGGGGTTTGATGGAAAACACAACACGTCACACTCCACATTCATATTTAATCAAATTTATGTCTGGAAACAAAACAAAACGGTATATGATGAAGAATCAGTAACACAAACACTTTTTGTTATTAAAATTTCAAAATCATTTGCTAATATAAATTAATTTAGTAATATTATTATAATAGGATGACAATCATACATATCTTATATTCATCTTACATACATATATTTATTACAGAAAAGTTGGCGGAAGCGACGAGAAAATTTGCGAATTTAAAAAGCGAATTGAGTGAAGCACAGGAGGTCGAATTTGAAGGAAAGAGCAATAAAAAGTCAATAAAAAATAACATTTTAAGAAAGAGAAACGTTCCTGCAAGAAAAATGCAAGAGCTCAAACTTGCTTTCAGCGAATTTTACTTGAGTCTAATTTTGTTGCAGAATTATCAGAATTTGAATTTTACCGGCTTTCGGAAAATATTGAAAAAGCACGATAAAGTGAGTAGAAAGCGTAATAAATAAATAAACACACCAGGTAAAATATAGAGTTCATGGTCAAGTAAAAACGGTGATTCATAACGGCGCAAATTTTTAAAGTTAACCCCAAAGACCTTCTCGAACCTGCCGCAAACTTTACTAAAAAAAAGTCCCCATTGCTCAACAATGCTATTCCTACCAAAATATACAAACGTCGTAAGTTTAGATATATTAAGCTAATGACTGTTTCAAAACCTATTAAGGGCGAATGAATGCAAATTCATAAAAAAAAACTTTTGAACCTCAGTAATAGAATGTAGATGAAAAATGTAAAGTGTAAAATTTGTTATTGACGTTGACTCATAAAATGAGATGAGACTCACTGAATATACATTAAAAAATAAACTAGGGTTAATTAAATTTAAAATTACTTGAAATATTGAAGTTATATGATGTGAGAGACTTATGAGATACTCTGTATAATGTATTCTATACAATACACATGTAATATACCTAGAGTGTATTTTTGCAAAAATATAATATACAAATATGAGTAGATTTCTGTGTTACACAACTGTTAATGTTTTCGTTAGTTACTTTGTTATCAATATCAGTTGAATGTTAAAAAACTAACTGAAAGAATATGAAGAGCTTAATTACCCATATCTATGGATTAAAAAAGACAAAAATACTACTGTTACTTACCTACCATCACAAATTTGTGCGAATCTAACTCAGCAGTCTATTGTTTTTAAAATTTAAAAACATTCAAATTCAAAAAATTCAATTACATTGGTTACATTTAGGGTTTTGGAAATCATCATTATTGTAAAAATAATTATAAAAAAACCAGGAAGCTTACATTTATTTAGACGTGGTCAATTGGATGGTCAATTAAGACGTGGTCAATTGACCTGTCAATATTGACTGCTCAATTGAGAAGTGGTCGATTGACCAGTCCCAACACTATTTATATTTGTACCTCACGATACTGTGGTGTGTACAAAATGCTTTATAGGTATTTATTTGTCTTTTTTTCCCGATGGGGTGGAAAACTCTTCTAATTATCAGAATTCGAGTTCAGATTAAGTCACTAATTAATGTGAAATAATCCATATTCGTTACAGTTACTCTCATTTGATGTTGGTATGCGATGGAGGATAGAGAACGTAGAGAACTCCCATTTTTATATAAACAAAGATATCGACAGGTTGATAAGAGAAACCGAAGCTACCTTCACTCAAGACTTGGAGGGCGGCGATAGACAACGGGCCATGAAACGGTTGAGGGTGCCGCCACTGGGCGAGCAGCAGAGCCCCTGGACCACTTTCAAAGTGGGTCTCTTTTCCGGGGCATTTATGGTTTTACTTATTGCTGTCGTATTATCGGGTGAGTTAGGAAAATTTCATTTAGTTATTGTATGATTTAGAATGCTACGAGTAAAAAGTCACACGAACGCTCGTTTCCGAAAATATTACATTTACAGAGCCTCTTATTTTCTCACTTGGCAACTTTTCATAGAACTGCTGCAATTTATATTTCGTGCGTGTGCATAGACAAAGCTGATGCAATTTTTATTGCGTTGCTCAATTGTGTGCGAACGCAATTCTCTAGCAACTTCTAGGTGGCCAACATTCAGAAATGTCACTAAAATAAAGACATGCACAGAATAGAAATATTACTCGGGGCCGATCGATTCCCGTTGTTTTCGCACTCTTTGTGTTTTTGATTGCTAATAAAAGGTCCTCGCATCAAATTGATTTTTTGATCATTTTTCTACTACATTTTGATATACGCAGAAAAATTCTGAGGAAGGGGTCAATTACAACTTCTGAGAAATATCAAAAAATAGGCGTATAACTACGAATAAAATGAGTATAGCCATTTAATATAAATGTCATTGAACACCCAACACAAACGCAGATGTTGATTATACCAACTCTCACCATTAATCAAAGTTGCGTGTCGATGATATATCTTTTAAATATATAAACTTCCGGAAATATCAGAGGCCACATCAAGGTCAAGTCTGTAGTTCCAGCGGACATATTCTCTAGGATTTTTTATGACTAACAGAATCATCAATTTTTGGCATCCAATAACATCAAACTTATGGAAAATTATAAAAGAGACCAATTCCATTTTTTTTATCGTCGAAGTAACCAGCTTTAGACTTTTTAAATACACATTTTTATCATTTATTTTTAATCATTATATCAACTAAGCTCCACTAACTAATTATATTGACGTTTTAGGCCATCCAAACTGATTGGCGCTTTCCACATACATCGAGAACTTGAACTCTTATAGAAAAGATAACGCTTAATCAATCAATTTCTTCCCTGCACTATCTCGATCCTTTGGAAATCAAAACTTGCGTAAAAATTCATAATTTATAGTTAATTCCACATCAGCGTTATGACTTATTTTTAGCGATAAATCCTACTAATGCTAATAGCACTAATACTGTACACTAACAATGTACAATGGATTCTTCCAAGATACGTGAATGCAGGGTTCGGATTGATTGAGTTATGACTATTGTTTTTCTAAATTTTATATAAATCAAAAGAATCAGAAACTTTATCAGCGAAAAAAGTGCATCCGTCTTTTCGTACTAATGTATTAATAAATATAGTCATTAGATTTTTGTAAATTTTTAATTATTTATTCATTTCTGGTCAAGATAATTATGGGAATATTTTTTAAGCATTTTATAGTCTTGTTTTACTCTTTTTTTTTTCATAGAAAATTCCACAAGCTACTGTAATTCCATTTACTAAACTTCTGGATTCCTCCTGCACCGGTGGTTGTTGAGTCGAACTCACTGACGTTTCGCCAATCATTCGGCTGGCTTCTTCAGAGTTTAACTGAAACTGGCTCGCATTTTACTCTGTACCTGATTATATATTGTTTGAGGATGGCGGAACTAGACGATGGGCATAAACATCGTCTGGTTCCCATAATGGTGAAAGGTAAAGACCTCAGTCGCGGTTAAGATTATATGGTTGCTTACAGATTTCTATAGATTCTCGGATTTTTCATTTGTAGAAAAATTGATTACATGGAAGAATTGTTGTTTCATCGAATAAAATTTTACGTCCGGATTCGTGATTGTGTTCGGCAACAGCTGATGAGTTTATTTGTCTTAGTCGTAAGGCTCTTTGGTGTTCTTTGAGCCTAGTTGATATTTTTTGTCCGGTCTCTCCATTGTATCCTTTGCCGCATGTGCATGGAATGCTGTAAAGTCCTGGCATCTCAAATGGAATTTTGATATGTAGTCAGTGATGCTTTTTATGTAAGGAAGGATAACATTATCAGAAGTGGGGTTGTTTTCGGATTCATTGCTTTTAGAAGGTCGTGGTGAAGTGTATTTTGATAGAACACTTAATATCTTTAATGTGGAAATTATTAGAGAAAAGAGCAGAAGTGAGGTGTTTTAATTCTGGGTTCAGTGACCCATACAATCGTCACCGCGACTCATTTAGCCCCGCCCCCTCAAGCAATATGTAGGCAGGTACAGAGTAGACTGCGAACCAGTGTCAGTTACGCCTCGAAGAAGAAGTTCGATTCAACGGCGCAGGAGGAATCCAGAACTTTCATAGCTGGCCTTACTCGACAGTTTATTAATGTCACCATTTTTCCTACTTTGTACATAGGGTGTGTCGGTTTCAGGTGTTTTCCGAGGTCACAAAGACGATTGGCGAATAATCACAAGGTTGTACCGCGGACCGTTTCTAATTATTGAATTTCTTTTCCTCTGGGGTATTAACATTTACGGCTGGCGTTCATCCGGCGTGAATCACGTGCTGATATTCGAGATGGACCCCAGGTACATTGCAACTTCGTCATCCACCGCGTAATTCGCCTACAATAAAATAGCTTCCTTTTCTTAAATTAAAGAAACCACCTATCGGAACAGCACATAATTGAGATGGCGTCCATCTTTGGCGTGATGTGGAGCGTGTCAGTGCTCTCGTTTTTGTACTCCGATCAACTCGGGGTACCCGCTTACGTCCACCCGTTGGTACTGATCGTACTAATGGTGTTATTCATTCTCAATCCAACCAAAACGTTTCGTCACGAGGCGAGATTTTGGGCGCTCAGAGTTTTGGTGTGTAGGCGTTGACGCATGCTATAAGCTTTGTATAAATTCTATTGTGGCCAATAGGTATTTTTGATTTTTTTTTCTGTATATTTTTATTTCGTTTGTTTTCGTTTTTGTCGTTGGTGTGTTTTATAACGGGCTGCTGGCCAATACTTTGGAGTAGTGCCGGATGAATCTTCTATAATAGTTAAACCTTATGGTCGAAATGAGGTAAAAAGAGAAAGTTTATTTAAAAGGAGATTGCTATCTATATTTTAACGTTCAATATTTTTTTTATATTATAGACAAATAAATATAATTTTAACGAGGTCATTATATTGTAAAGAATTTTTCATCTGTTGAATCTGGAATATTACGCAAATTTACGATTGAGAATGAATCATTGTTATCTGTGAGTAATGATTGATGGTGATATTTTTGTATAGAACAATAAGGTTATGCCACTTCTGAATTGATACAGAAGCTAGTCTCCCTTTGCAGTACAATGAATGTACGGACCCATTTCTTTACTGTCATAAATTTGTTTCTTTGGATATCGAAGCGGCTATTCCAACCTATTGCTCAACAGTTAAAAAATTTAATGTGGACTTTTCCGAACTTGTGTTTGTTTGTTTTTTGGTGCAATGTTCGGATTCTAACATTTCCAACAACTAACAATATAATCCCTTTATCTGTTATTTTAAGTAAATTGCTTAATTTAATGATTGAATCAAGTAATAAATTTGTAGTAATAAGTAATGTATTTATTTTCATTCCCGTCAAGAAATTCGTTGATTTGTAATACTAAATATGTAACTGGAAAAAATTGGATATTTTGAAAATATTTTTCAACTTAAAATGGGCAGTTTCCTTATCGTTTACCCAAAAGAAATCGACGAATACTGCGGTGGTGCATCCTGTATACGTTTCCAATGCAAAGCAAGCAAAATAAGCAAAACAATTGTCAGAAGGATGAATTTTCGTTTTTATTTCAGGGCAAAGTGTTTTTGGCGCCATTTTTCTACGTAAACTTTGCGGACTTTTGGTTGGCCGACCAGTTAAATAGTTTGGTAACACTCTTTACCGACATGCAGTATTTTGTGTGTTTTTACGCTACCAACTCCAGCTGGTACGAAGGCACAGGTGACGTGTGTTTGCTTCTACTCAATACAAATTTTATAAATGATAATTGCACCGCCTTTTTAAGTAAACCTGCGACGAAATGAATTTGGCGATAAAATAGTAGCAAGTATCTATTCTCTCGTCTATAGAGATGTGTTGGTCTAAGGTTTTTATTATATTTGTTTTGTTCCAGCCGTCGCCAGAAACCGGTTTGGAACTGTTAATTACGGTCACTCGACTGATTTTTGTCAGGCAAAAAACTTTCATCGTATCAACAAATCAGTTGAGTAACAGGAATCTACAGTTCCAAACCGGTTTCTGGTCAGCGGGTTAAGAGTTGTCAACCTCTTTTAAATTCTCACAATTTTATTGTTTGGAGTCCGGGAAGTATTCTTTGTAAAACATGTTTATATTGTTGGCTGAAGTTGAGATTTTTCATTAAAATGACAATGGTATAAATATTATAATAATAACGAAACCAAAAACACATAAATTTAGGAAATTTTAGGTCATTGAACTCTCATATTACTACTATTAAATGACGGGTTAATTTTAAGCAAATCCTAAACTAGTTCTCTTTTCCTCCAAAACTACTACGATTAAAAATTTTATCTTGCCACATTTTTATATAAGCCAACAATGAAAGTGGCTTATTTATTTCGTTCGCACGATTACTAAATGCGACGTATTTTTACTCGAAAGTTACTGTTGACGTTTCAGATGCCAATTATTGCGTGGAAAAGTACCTTTTCCTTCGAGCCTTTATGGCGTGTTTGCCTCCATGGTTTAGGTTTGCGCAGTGCATAAGGAGGTACCGGGACACCAAAGAAACTTTCCCGCACATCATCAACGCCGCAAAGTATGCGACGTCATTTTTCGTCGTTATCTTCTCGTCATTGTATAAAAGCGTATTATGTAAGTCCAACCTCCGAACATCGACAGTATAAAAAGCTACTCGAGAGAGGAAAAATACTTTGAAGCGATGTTGTTGATAAAGCTCTATAACTCAAAAATAGTTCTAGTTATGCAGTTAATCGAGTTATTCTTATTATTTCTATTTTAAATGATACTTCATTACTTAAATTTCGTTGCGGCATTTGCTGTCATTATCACATACATAAAGGGTCTATTTAATGACAAACAAGATTTATATCACAGTTAACCAAGGGTTGCTGATGTCAGTAGTGTGTTTTGTTGCTTCAACACCCTCCGTCGCCGGGAGGTGTCTTGAGATAACATAATTACAGATTTCTAATTCGATTTTTTTAGATTTATTTTCGATGCTTATCTTCAGATCGTAGCACAGGTTAAAAAAAATTTCAGATTCATAACTGGAATATATTTTCGCTCTTGATCTACAGATGCAACAAAAATATACTACTGATGTCTAGTTAATATAATTAATTAATTAATTAATTAAACAATATTATACTGAGTGTATTTCATAGTGCGCCATGACTTCATATTATATTAATTTTCTTTAAATATATCCGATTACTAAATGTTATATTTTGGTCAGGGTGTCCACTTCATGGACTTACAATGCGTTCTTTAAGTAAAGTTAACCCAAGTACTTTTTTCACACGCTTTATATGTAACTCAAAAACTGTTGGATTTTGAAAAATGTACTGTATGAAAATGCTTTCTGTTACCGCGTGCTCAGGCGGAGTAGGATCATAGAGCGACGCAAAAAAAGGCAACGGTTAGACTGTCCCTTATTACTCTGCTTATAGCTTCACAGTCCACCGAAGGTGCGCGTGATAATTATTTTTTATTGTAGACGATTCACAAAAATCTACGTCGTCGCCATTTCTTTACTTGTGGATAGCCTCTGCTGTAATCAGTTCATTTTACGCGTACATGTGGGATATCAAATTCGATTGGGGTTTGTTCGATGGAAAGGCTGGCGATAATAGATTTTTAAGGGAGGAAATTGTGTATTCTACAACAGTAAGTACTACAAGGCGAAAAATTAGTGCTTGAGAATTTAACCAGGTTCATCTGGTGGAAGCACTATTTCGGATTAATTATTATAGAATAAAATTTTTCAGGCATTGAACATTTTTTAAGTCTTTAAATTAGTAAAAATAATCGTTTATGAGATAACTTTTATGGAAAAATTTCACTTCTTCTTATTTATACCAAATATCTTGTAATTTATATATCTTTTAGCTTTAGACAGCTAACATTATCTAATATAATTTTCCTTGTAGGGTTGTTACTATTTTGCAATAGTCGAAGACTTTGTTCTTCGTTTCGGCTGGGCAGTGCTTATTGGATTGACCGAAACTGGTTTCGTGATGGAGAATTCCGTGGTCTGCTTTTTATCTGTTCTCGAAGTGTTTCGGTAAGCCCTCTATGCTTTAAAATATTACGAAATAACCGAGAGGTAAAGCAAGTGTACACCATTAATTTCTTTTATTTTTGTAATTCTTTAGAATACCTCTGGAATTTTTCTGAAATTCTTCGACATTACTATTTAATTCTTTGAACTTCTTCTGTAATTAGTTGTAATTCCTTCGTACTGTACACCATGACTCATCTGCCGAATTCTAATTGTTTGTAATACTTCTAATCGAGAAATTAAAAGTAATATTTTAACTCATTCTATAGCAAACTTGGATAACATTGGATAAAGAGATTTATAACAACGAAATTCATCTTTTTGGTGCAGCATAACTAGAAAGTTGGGGTACAAGGAGGGACAATTACTAATTTGCATATTAATAATTTACGTAAATAAATCAGGCCAATTTGAAGCGAAAACTTTCATTAACTCTTTAGTTGTAAACTTTAAACTGTAAAAAAAAAATTACTTACTTCTAAATTTGAGTATTAAATTTATGGAAATGTTTAGTAGTTTTATTTTACATTTACTGATTACGTAATACTATCATAGTTTCAGTTTTTCTACAAATATGTTTTTGTCAGCGTTTGAAATTTTTAAATTCCAGCGCACATTTCCCACATTTAGTTGTTTGGAATTTCTAGCCCTTTGGCTTAAAACAGGTAGCGATGAATTTGGCATCTGCCCTACGCTACGCCACTGTTAAATTATCGTCAGCTTATTCCTTAACGACATATTCCTCCTCGAGTTACGTCGATAGATTGATGTTAATCAGACGTTTATTTTCCCAGGAGGTTCGTTTGGAACTTTTTCCGTTTGGAAAATGAACATTTGAATAACTGCGGCAAATTCAGGGCCGTTCGAGATATTTCCGTGGCTCCCCTGGATACTTCCGACCAGATGCTCATTGTTAGAATGATGGACGAGGAAAACGGAGTAATTAACAGAAGGAAAAAAAAGAGCAAGAGAAAAGAGGATCACCGAGTATTGCTAGAAGGAGAATCCACGGACGATATGGATAATTAGACCCTTGTTGTGAACGCATTCGGTTATTTTTAAAACTCTAGTATATACATTTGTTATGAAATAATTTTACTCGTTTAAATATTCCTTAATTATACTTTCTGTCCAACAATAAACATTATTTTTGCTAAAGTAATTTTTTGAATTTATTTTGAAATAATTTTACTTGCTTCTCCATGCATGAAATGTAGTCACTGTTTTCAGCATTTCTGTAAAAAGGAGAACTGTAGAAAAAATCTGAGTACCCACTGCATTTAACTCAAAAAAATGTCCCTATAATTTGTTTATGCGAGTTAGAAATTTTCATAAAGAAGTTATTTTTAAAACAGGCAAAAATATTTTCATCATTAAATGTTCATTAAAAATCGTATGACACGTATATCCATTTTGCTCATTCTAGTTAGAATATTTTGGGTTAACATTTTTATCTCGTTATAGCATTGCTTTAGAGTTTATTTTTTATTTGGAAACGGTAAGCATTTTGAAGAAATTGAGACAAAAATTTCTAAGTAAAATATAGAATAAAAGAAATATTTTTTATGTCATTGCTTTAGTTTATCCTTAAATGTAATTCATTCTAATCTGCTCTAATTTCATCTAATTAAGTCTAATTCGATCGCTTCAACTTTTTTTAAAAAAGATAAAAAATTGGCAGAACGTGTGTTTCTATCCGAATATTTTATTGTTCAATTTTAGTTCCTAAGTTAGTGGGCTACTCATAAAAAAATACAACTAAAGATGTATGCTTTCTAATTGAAATACCTCTTTTATGTTTCATATTTTTGAAAAGTTCATTTTCATCAAAAAAAGACAATAATAATAAAAATAGGCAGTATTTGGTTTTTTGACATGACAATTAAGAATTTTTGAGAAATATTGACTTACCTTTTAAAGACATTTCATCTTATTGTTAACGTAAAAATTGAATGTTGTCAGCCTATGCTAAAGTTAAAGTCCATTACTTTTAGAAAATGCAATGTGTACCACTACTTTCACATATATCTTATAACCAGAGTTACACGTGTCGTTAACATTAAAAAAGTAACAAACACATTATTAAGATAATGGACGGCTTTCAAGACTAACTTAACAATAAAATAACTGCCTCAGCACCTAATAACTCAGCATCTAACAACTACTGACTATAGATCCTCTCACTGAAAGAGCTGAAGTAAATAAAAAAAAATTTATATAAACATAAAATATACTCACCAAGTTATGAGGGTCGGTTCGGCTTTTAAGAAGATAAGACCACACAAACTACTATCATAAACATAAAAAACTTCATTATTTAGAAACTGATAATAATGAAATATTAAAGTCATTCAGAGAGACATGTGGCCGCTCCTTTCTTTCTTGATGGAATAAAAACTAGTCCAAAATATATTAGGTAAGCTATCATTATTTGCATATGATATAGTTCTGATATTTATCGGTTGAGTGGTTCCGCATCTGAATGTGCAAAGGAAAATGTACTGCTTCAGTGATGAGAATGACCGAGCGTTGAATATGATTAAAACAGAGGAGTATTTTTATAACCTGAGACAGTCACAGTAAATTAATAAAATTCCTGGGCATAAATTTAGATTTTAACCGATCTTGGGAAAATCGTATCTTAAGTACTCTTTTTTGTTGTGGAAACTGAGAAATTCTGTAAATAGAGAGGTTTTGTAGTCCATTTATTATGCAGATGTTAATTCCACACTATCATATGCTATGGTCGCTTAAAGTGAGAGTGTGCACATTGGAGAGTGCTCAAAAAAAATCATAAGCACCGTAATAGTAAATTATGCAACGGCATTTAAATCACGAGTTTATTTACAACGAGCGGAGCGAGTGTAATAAACGAGTGACTTAAAAAGTTTACCAAACACGTGTTGCTTACTACTTTTTCTACAACCGTTAGTTATTGGGTAGATAATTGCTAAACAACACGAATACATTCACTGACATGACCGTCAGAATTGACAAACGTCAATATTCAAGCTCCGAAAACATCCGATTGCTCCCAAACCCGTGTGGTAAAATCCCGGAAATGTCCGAAGTCGCTCGGATCCGTGGAAAAAGAAACTGACGTGGAAAAGTGACGCTTCCCGCATGTTTGATCTGTGTGTAATTAGGAGTAGAAAAGGTCTTTTTAGGAACCCTTGCTTTAATTATAAGTTTTATTGGATGTTTATATAAGATAAAATTTACAGAACTTTTTAAAGTGAGCTAAAGTTTTGAGTTATACAAGTTGCGAGTTCCGCAGCATGGGCTGAGTCGAATCATGAAAACTAGTTATGAACTGCCTATTTAAATTTATAATCACTTACCAGACTCTATTAGATTTATTACCAATAATAGCAAATTTATAAACTTAATAATAAAAGTATTATTTAGTAAAGCACAATGCACCTTGGAGTAGTTTGGGTGAAGGAAATTTTACCATATTTTTTATTTTGTATATTGTATTTTGTTGTAGGTACTTTTTGAACACCTTATGTACCTTTTTTGGTTGCCAATATTGTTAATTATGAACTGGATTAAATAAATAAATTTGTAATTTTTTATTCTCGTAAGAAACCATATGCGTAATTTGAATAACCAATTAAGACAAATAAGGATTCAAAGGTTGGCAGAGGCCCTGTCAACTCCTCGCAAACCCTTAAAAATTGTCCACGTGAAGCAATACAAGAAGCAGACGACCAATGACCCAGTAAACCTCAAGTAAATCCGCCGCCGCGTCGGTTCGGCGAATTTCGTCGGGCGTCTGGAGCTTCTTCGGGCGCAGGTCCTGCCGTGTTTCGGTCGGCAACAATTTCGACAGCGTCAGTCAATGAAAACCTGCGACACTAAACGCCGGAAGACCGGTCGCTTTTCCCTGTGACGTCACCCGGCATCGACCAATGGCATGCCCGCTTTCCTATTGAACGGTGCGAAACATGGCCGCAAACCGAAAACATATGGAGTGAAAAACGGGCAATTTGGCACGATGAAAATTGCCCTATTATGCGTTGTCATCACACTCTCGCGCTGTGAATGGGTTTTCGCCGACAGGGAGCTTTACCCCGGTGAGTGATATACGTTTTCTGACCATTTTAGGGGAAACATTTTGCCGCCATAAAAAAACGTTACGCCGATAATTTACCCAACGCGTTATCGTATGCCTACCGCGGTTTGTTTTATCGCTAACACCAATAAGTCGTTAGAACTCTTTATCTTTTATTCACGGATGATATGTGTCAGCTGCTTCCGCTTTGGTTTATTTTAACAAACGTTTTAGCGCCAAAACAAGAAAGCGCCGTGGATCTGGCGAATTATGTTTCGCGGTTCTATTTTGTAATTCACGATTTCTTCTTTATTAGTGCACTTCGTGGTAGCATGAGGAAACCTTCAATTTGAGTGCCCGATGGACCCAGAATATGCAACTGAGGGGGGTTATTGAACCGAATAATATACAGGCTGGGCGAAATTGGACAGTTTTCAAGGAAAACTCCCCTTGCCAAAAGAGGCGATTTTCATAAAAAACGCAAACGTAATAATATCATATTTTTCTAATAGTTATCAATAGCAAAAATCGATTTTTTATATGGAACTTACCTTTCTAAAAATATAGCACACATCACATTATACTCCAATCTTCTTGGAAATAGATTTCAAAAAAATCTTTAAGAAGTTGTTTTCTTTAAGGATTTTGCTCTGTGAATCAAAACCTACAACCTGCACGGTTACTAAGATCTATTTCTTCTTCGAAACTCGAGGATGTATATGGTATGTTTTTGTAAATAAAGTTTCCAGTACTTTTTGAATAATTCAAATATATATAAAACGTCCTATATGAAAAATATAAAAAAAAATTATAGGAATGTTTTATTTAAACCGCTAAACTCTGAAACGGTATATATTATAAAAATTAAATTCTAGAAGTTGACATTAGTTTTCGTCCATCTTATATAGAAACGATAGTTTCTTCTAAAAAAAAATTGTGGCCCACCCTGTACAAGGTTTTATTTATATTTTGACACAAAGAGGACAGGCGAAAACTTTTTACGTCAAAGTTCAATGTGTTTTCTCTATTTTCTTCTGAATGCACCAATAAATCAAGTGATGCGTGCAAATGAAATGAATGAAAAACTTCACTTTTTTTCACTGAAAGTCCTTTTAGATTTGTAAAAGAAAACATTGTTTATAAGTTTAGATATCGCCCTGACAGATATAAATAGTGTCACGGCAAGTAGACATTTTCTAGAAATACTATTTGTTTCAAGATCGAAATCATGAAATCATTTGCTATTTTTTACAGCATACCAGATGCAGGTTGATAATTCTTGACAAGTTTAATTGAATTTTGTAGTTTTGAACATAATTAGTTTTTAATTTTATTTTCTTCATGTTTTAACTATAAAATATTATCTTATAGATTTCTACTAACTTCCATATTTTTTGTTTTCTGATATCATTATGATAAAGACAATGTATAATTACTAGCATTTTCTAGTTGTAAGTTTAAAATATTAAATCAATAATATTATTCTAAGGATATCAGAAAACAAAAAATAATAAAAACACACCTGCAGCGCATTGCAAGAAATATAAAATTAAATTTTTATTATTATTATTGTTATTATTGCTGGTATTTATATAAAACTAGTCAAGTAATCTCTGGTTAGCGTTGCAATATTTGAAAAAGTCTAATGGCACATCTTATATTTTAAAGCTAATAACGTCAACATCGATCCACTGGGAATACCTTAATTAATACTTAGCAATCAAGGAACCTTGAACAGCCTACACCCTAATTACTGAAAGTAATGTGAAGCTGAGGAGAGGTCAGTTAAAGATCGACCATATGAATATCCGTCAGAACTTTGCATATGTTCCTCTCGAGATTTTTCTACTTCCCACTCTAAAATATCTTGCGGTCACATTGTTACCCACTATTTCAATTCACATCACACAGATACAAAAATATTTTTTTTTACAGATGAAAATCAATATAATCGCTTTGGCGAGTTGTAGGCAGTCTAAAAAGTCATTTTTTTTACTTTTTATTTTTATGAATCTTCAATTAGTCAACAACAATAAGCATAAAAGTTCCTGATATGAGTATTAACAATATTCTCATTAATATAAATCATGTAGTAGTCCTTTATCAAACATTCATTTTTTTGCCAAATTGCGCAGTATAAAGATGGAAATAGGTTTTTTTAAGGTAAATATTGCAAGTTGTTAACGGTTATCATTAGCGACCAATATTCATCAGTATATCCAAGAGATTGTGAACCTCTAACAAATTTCGCAAACCTAAAATTAGTAGCAGTTCAATAATAGCGTTATTTAATACTGCAAACGAAATTTGCCACCTTGTTATTACAAATTTACTTTCTCAATTATTATGTGGAATATATAAACGCTCAAAATCGAATGTTTTTGATACGAAGTAAAACTACATTATGTTGCAGCTGCTAATTTTTTATCACTTTATTCACTTCTTTCAGTTGTGAATAGGACGCTCTATTATACAGGACGTTGTTTAAAAGTCTCTACTACATTTAGGAGCAAATGTGTGGTTGCAAAACATATTTTTTAATTAAAACAAACTATAATCAATACTAATTTAACAAAACATGATAATGATAATGCCGACCAAAATAGAGAAAACCCGTTTTTTTCTTCCAAAACTATTTTCTTTTCTCGCTGAACGCCGATTCTATACAAATTTCAATACAACCAATTATTTACACACGCAACCCACGGGCCCGTAGATTGAGAGGCGTAAGATCAATATCCTATTTTCGGAATATAGGTACGCATTTACTTTGATAACAAATGAATTTGCAAAAAACAGTTTGCAAATCAAAATCTTTAATAACGTTTAGTGGTTACCTCAATTTTTGCTTCAGCTCGAGTTCTACGCTGCTTTCTTTTCCTCTTTCTCTGAATCTCCGAAATTTATTTTGTATGGGTTACACGTCCTCCGAAAAATTCATTAAACGCAATTTTAAGTAGAAAACAGAAAAGATCGGGTTTCAAATCGATTGGTCCAGTACTTTGGTCATTACGTACCGCTTATATATTGTTTGTTTTGTTGAAGTATGGTTTAAATTATAGATAAAGATGATCATCATACATTATACACTTCATCTTTGAGTAATCTATGCTATCCGAAAACTAGAAGATCGAAAGGAATACAGACTTTTTAGGTCGTTATTCTGTGGCTGTGGCCCTTTTAATAGTGATGGTGTGTTAATTTATTTATTTAATTGCAACACACAAACACAAATCTTATTTACATTAACCGCACGTTATCGGAAAAATAGAAAAACAAGAAACTAAGTGAAATTTACAGATAACAATAAATACAATACTTTTTCTAAATGATAATTGAATGAATTAGTGGAAATGCAACCAAAAATGTTTATTTTTTTTTTAGACTGTTCTCTAAATTACACATTCGGAATAGGGGAGAGTTAACACACAACACCATCTATTTAAATAAAATATGATACTTCCATTTGAGACATAGGGGTTACCGTTGAGCTTATGGTACTTAGAAAATAAGAACAATCAATTTCATAAAGAACTAATTTAAGAAAGAACATTAATGCAGGTATGTCAAATATGTGTGTTCCATGTTTTTTATAGTATAAAAAACGTAAAAATTCTTTTATGGTAAGGGGGGGACCAGACCAACGAAGCATACTCAAGTATACTTCAAAAGTTCGTATTTGTTGCAAATTTGAACCATCCTGGAGAGTAAGTGCTTCGAAGCCTATTTTTGTGCCTAAAGTTAGGTCCAGATCTTTAATTTCCTTTTTTGTCATTAATATTATATTATTGAATCGATAATCATTATTTAATTTAAATCATTTTTGTAAATTAAAGGATATTTCGTTTTCATGAAGTAAAAGACAGTTGACCAAGATTCGACCCCTGCAGAAAGCCTCAAAATTAGACAAATTCAGCTCTTCGTCGTTAACAACAACGTACATTATTCTCTCCTTTAATTATGATGCACCTACCTTAAGAATATCGACAGAGACACCACAACCATCCCTTTTTTTTAGAAGTACGTCGTGATCAACTCTATCAAACACTTTTGAAAAATCTATAAATATAACGTCTACTTATTTATTTGTTATTTGTGAATTCATTTATTTTATGTAAAAAGCTTGTTAAGTTGGCCTCTGTCGATCTTTTCGGCATTAATGTGTCTTGGTTTAAACGTATTACTTCTGATACATGAGAAAAGATGTACGTATACAAAATGGATTCAAAAATTTTACTTGACTCAAATGATTGCCACAGCTTTTTGACTTCTCCCACTTTTATGAATTGGGCAAAACTTTTGACATCACAAGAATAAAAATTATTTTTAATGGTCGTGGAAGCTCATCGATGCACGCTTTAGTGTGGAGAGATTTCATCTGGATTTTTTTGTTTTTCATTTTTTTAGTGGCATCTAAAATGTCTTTAACCGAGATGGAATCAATTTTTAAGATGTGATTAGTTTTAGATTTTAAAATAATCTGCAAATGTATTTGCTGCCTGAGCATTTTCATCAATCTGTTCCCCTCAAAGAACATCGAGCCAGGCAGAACTTTAGGTTCCGAGCGTGACCCTTCGCGCTACATACTGATGAATAAACGGCAATAAATCCGAAACGTTGGGGCACAAGCTAATAAATATCATTGAACTCGTCTGTAAAAGTAGTATTTCAATATATAATAGTTATAGGATGTCTCCTTCAAAATAAGAAAGGTAATATGCCTGAGTACAAGGTGTCTTACCGCCGACGGTTTACAAGATATTAACCTCCGACACCTAAAAATGTTTCTATTAGAATTTTTCTAAAAGAGTATATATACTACAGTTTCCAGCAACCAGATACCAGGACATTTTCGGTATTACATTAACTTGATCTGAAAAAATATTTCTTGCAGGGCTTAACTACGACTTAGACGCGCAACAAACCAGGCCAAGTCTGTCCAACATTGACGAGTCGACATTTTACGACAACGTTTATCAACCGAGGCCTTGGCAACGCTTGTCCATCGATGAAGACGACAGCAGCGAAAGAGCGGTACCTCGAAATGATTTGAATGCCGAAAAATTAGTTAAACTCTACAGCTTACTTAAGATAGCGAGCGATGAATTGGGCAACAGGTAAGTGTGATTCTATGAGCTTTATACAAGGCTTAACAAATTCGCCCGTCATTGTTGGGATCTCAGTAAATGTATGAGATCCGAAGTGGGTTAGTCTTGGTTAGTTACGAAAATTCCTAATGGTGTCCGAGATATCCGAAAAGAAAAATAAAATCCAGTGTCTTATGTTTTTCCTTTTTCTCTTTTAAGAGATAATTTTAAACCATTGACGCTTTGTTAAGTTCAATATTTGTTTTTACATTACCACCACCGCCCGATACAATCTTTATTTTTTCAAATGCTTTTATTTCTTCTTCTTCTTGCCGCTTCTCCATTCCGAAACCGCTGCTCTGAAAAGATCCGCAGAAGATATGTTAAACCATTCTCGCAGATTCCGCAGCCAGGATATTCTTCTTCTTCCAATTGATCTTCTGTCCACAATCTTTTACTGGATTAGCAAGTGAAGCAGCTCATACTTTAGACCTCGCATTATGTGACCCAGATAGACGATCTTTCTCCTTTTTTCTTCTTTCAACACCTCTAACTCTTTGTTCATCCTGATAAGCACTTCTGCGTTGGTCGTGTGCTCCATATTCTGTGCAATCTTCTATAGGTCCACATCTTAAATGCCTCTATTTTTCTTTCGTACGCTGGGTTAAGCGTCCAAGTTTCTACCCCATAGTACAGCACTGGAAATATATAGCACCTCAGCATGCGTACACTAAGATCTAGGCTCAGGTCGCGACTACAGAGCATCTTTTTCATTTTGACAAATGCTGCACGTGCTTTCTCTATGCGGATCTTGATTTCTGAACAGTAATCGACAAATAATTATATTCTGTAACGCGCCCTAATTATACTCCAGCCCCTGGAAAATGTCTAAACTACATTTAAAATTAATTAAATTAATTTGTAATCTAATTAAATAATTTTCAAGTAATATTGTTAAAATTGACACGTATCTATGTAAAGTATTTTGAGTCTTTTCTGTCCAATAACTTTTTTATAAATGTTAGAGAAGACTTTTTGATCATCAAATAATTTATACCGATTAATAATTAAAACGGTAAATGGTAGATGGAGTAATTAAACAATTCCATTCTCTCTGCCGTTTTCTGTTGTAAATTTTACCTCACATTCGACAATGAAAAATTGTTGTGTATAAGAAAAACTAACGTTAATTTTGATTAACAAAAACTAAAGGATTTTTGATTTCGAGGAAAAGATGAAACTCATATAGATGAGATGATATTTTTTTCAATTTTAAAATAAGCTGTGAATGTTATTGGGCTCCCCTATTGGCTTTGCCTTAATATGAGTTACCCTTCATCTCTAACATTTCCGAGATTCAATGGTGAGAATCGAATAGGAAACATCCGGTATGTGGATAAATCCTTTTATCTTTTAGGCACCACACAAATCGTTACGACAAGCTTTTGCAACGGGTTGAAGATAGGTACAAACAGCTTTTAGATACCACTGATAGGATTAATTTTTTGGACCAATACTACTTTAATTCGCCAAACGGACAAAGACTGGAAGAGGCGAGGATTTTTCCGCAAGAGGACGACTTTATATTCAACGACGAAGAAGAAAACGTAAGATTACTCTTTTATTTTGGGTTTTAAGAAAAATCGCTAGACCTAAATGTTCATTACGTTGTTTCCATGTACAAATAAACCGTTAGGGACTCGAAACGGGTAAATAAAAATTGTGCAGCATTTTCAGTATTCTCCAAATAAAAAGAACCATTTAATCCCCTTTCCTACGTCCTTGAAATGCTTCTTTACATCGTAAAAGACGAGTCGATTTTTAATATTTTCACCCGTTTTGGAAATATTTTTTTTTCAAGCAATATACAGTGGATCCGAACTTGACTATTTGTATAATCATTAATTTCTATCTTTTATAAGAAATGCAAGGGCCCAATTTATATTTGGATATTTCCACAGATAACAACGACTTTTTATAGGTTTATATGTATATGTTGAATTTATAAACATACACTTTTTTTTAATTACCGTTATTGAGTTATAGCTGCAACATACCTTTCTTTAAATAACCAAGTTGTCCCATGATACACCCGAACCCATGTCTTTGTTTTTTTATTCTATAATTTGCATTTCTGTTTGGTTTTATCTGATAAAAATGGGCTGTCATGTCCTTTTGAAAAAATAATTACAACTCCCTTTTATTTCTGGATCGTTTTTTATTCTTATGGATGTCTACCGGCACACCAACGCAACCTATTAATAGTTCATTTAAATTGATTATCTTTTTCGGAAGGATTAATAACTTATTTTAAGACAACGCGAGATTATTGTTATTTACGACCCTATCACAGAAATCCGTGCCTGTATTTATTTTTGTTTCGTGGAACAGCGGCAGCATTGCGACTCCGTAAATAACACTTTTAATCCGTAACGTATATCTCTGGAAAACACCGAGTTGACTTGATCTAGTAGGTACTGGAATTTTGAACACCAATTATTATTTAATTAATAGAAATAATAATACAATGCGTTGTTTTGTTGGCTTGGTTTGCATTTTCTCAATACCTACAAAACGTAGGTAAACGGGGCTAAATAAATCCCTTAAACTTTTTTTAAGGAGTGCCAAAATGATTGAAAAGGAAAGAAACAAAATGTTTTTTAAGCAACTTTGACTTGGATAACTAAATTGACGGTCCTATATTGACTTGTACTAATAACTAATTTTTAATTAAGGTAATAGTTTCTTTAAGTAATTTTCAGATAGTTTTAAAATCTAATGTTATGTCGGCGTAAGATAAGACGAAATTACAAGTATTTTACAGAATGCCAATTATTTACAAATATACAAGGACTTCGATATTAAATCCAAGAGGTCATAAAGAAAATGTATCCACCTCGTTGGGAATCCTAAACTGCTTCTCGTTATTTCCACAATTGCCAGGTGCGAGCTTTTCGTACTGCATTATTCATTAAATCTCGAACGTTGCAGAAGGGTGGGGATTGCAGGGAAAGCTACATAAACAGAAACATTTTTACGAAGAACAAGCAATCGCCCAAAAATTTTTATAAAACTTGTTTTTGCAGATTTCTCGGTAACTATCAACGAATTACATGTACCTAATAAAGAAAGAAATGAAAACTGTATTGCTCTAGAACCAGAACTCTTAAAGGCAATTTTACTAAATAATATACGTCGTTTTTTTGGTCTTTTGGCCACTTAAATGGGAAGGTTCTCTAAATATATAATGGATTTCAATTACCTGTGCGGCGATGTAGCAGTAATAAATTATGAGGTTTAATACACCTTAAGGACTGCATTATTGCGTATGGAAACTGTTTAGATGTCACGAATATTTTAAAAATTATTGTAACGCAGGTATCACAGAAAAAATTTCCGGATAGTAATTTGGGTAAGGTTTCACACCTATACTACGTTACATATACAAAAAAAGTAAAAAATGTCCAATTATCTATCATTAAAAACTAACCTGGTCCGCCAAACATTTTTCGGATATTAACATCTGCTAAAAGTGCCTACTTTAAAAGTCATTCACTTTGCAAATACTCTTAAGTTTCAAAATTTAAAATTATTCATATTTTATTTTTGTATTTTAATTGTTTAGAAATTTAATGAAATGTATATAAAATGAATTATCTCCAAGCATCAGCACAAATCATTGACATTATTTACTTTCTTTTCAAATAAAATATATTAATGCAGTAATTAATTTGTTTCATTTATAAATGCATCATGCCATTTAACTAACTTACCAGTTTACATTTTCGCACTTATAAATAGACAATGTTCTAATTTTTGTTGGTTTGTCATAGAAGAAAGTTGCTTTTGTTTGGCTGCGTTTTGATATTACTTGACAGTTATCCTTATCCAAAGTATTCTTTTAGTATTTGACACTCAAATCTCAAAAACACAAAAATACCAAAAAATAAATGCGCTGTTAAGCCGTACAAAAAACTGTTTAAAAAGTGTTATACTTACTTTTAATTCTTTCGAGACCATTCAATCATCCGATTGGAAGCGGATCTAATATGTGATAAGTTTGAGAACATGGACTAAATATAAGCTAAATATTTTTTCCAAAGTATTAGGATGAGCATACGGAATAATTATTTAATAATAATTTATCTTTAATTTTAATGTCTCCACAATTGAAAGTTCACATACGATCAATGCAATTGTTATATAACAATTGTGTTAATTGTACGTGTAACAATTGCATTGATTGTATGTGATCTTTCAGTGGTGGAGAAATTAAAAGTAATAAGATAAAAAGTAAATTATTTTGTGCAAAATTCATGAAGGAATTACTTAGTAGATAATAGTAGATAATTCAAAGAAGTAAAAAAGCATATAAAAAAATTATGTTAAAGGTTTGCACGAAACTACCCCGAAAATATATTTTTTGAAATATATTTTTCAAGCACTTTAGTATCAAGAGAATCGTAATACATTGCTATTACTCCCTAGCAGTGCAGTTAACAAACCAAACAAGCAATATCGGAAAATGTTCGATTTGATTTCAGGATATTTATTCAAATTTGCGTAAAATTAATTGTTGATTTTTAATCGGTCAGAATTTCGAAGATCCGAGAGAAGAAGCCGCTTTGCAAGATATGAACCCGGCAACCAGTATTCGTCGCAAACTTCCAACGCCCGCACATGGAATGCATCACGATGACCAGGACTACCATTTCAAGGTCGGCGAAGAGTTTCCTAGTACTTCCTTCAAAGACATTCCCATAGTTAAAGACCCATCTGAATTTGGAGTTTCTCCGTCTGATCCCAGATTTTTTGAGAAAACTTCGGCGATAGGAACAGGTATTATGCCCGTCTTACTTTAGACTAATGGAACTTCTCCTCGTCAATACTGTGATATAAGATTTGTGGCCCCTCAAAATATAGACAGAAAAATTGTTTGTGAAAAGTAGTGGCATTGTAAAGCTGCTTGTATCATCAAATGTATTGTGAAATCCAGTAAATGGACAAAAAACATCACATGATAAATCGGTTCTCAGGTCATCCAGCGTTGCAAATTTGATTTGCGCTTTATTTTTTTTACGATTTCTTCATGTTTTAGGTAACTTCCGAGCTTTTTCAAAAAACAACTTTCATATCCTGCGATCAGTTATTTTGCTTAGTTTTGGTTACCTACAAATCATGTGATCCATAGTTTTGGGTAGTTTTTGTTACCTACATATCATGTGATCAATAGGTTTTTTTTCGCAATGCAAACTTACCATGAATGAGTAAGGTGAGAATTTTATTATGTATTGATTTTCCCAAATCTATACCCCCAATATCTGTAGTTATTAAGAAAGTTGTATACATGTATATCAGTTCTTATTGCGATTTTCCTGGGATAGTATGTATACTGACAAATGTGGAAGACTGAACAAACAACTTAGAGCTTTCTTGTCTATCTATCAAGTTACCTTAGGAACGAAAGTAATAGTTATTGTGTTTGTTGGTTACAGTCATACTTACGCACTTAATTTGCAAAACTGTGAATAATTTCCAATTAGAAATATTTATAAGCTTGAAATCCTAAAAGCAGGAATATAATAATAGTAATTACCAGAATCAATTACATTACGGCATGTGGCAATAATTTGTCTATCGAGTCAGAGGGCGCTCGGGTAGCAACTGGATGAAAATATCCAAAGCACACAAAATAGTGTTTGTGTACCTAACCCCTACTGATAAAATATATCACATGCGTTGTCAAAGTAATGCAGTAAATAAGTAATGTACCCCTTTGCTTTTTCAAATAGCAGAACAAGCAGAACTAGTTTTTTATGAGGAGTTAGAATAGATTGTTTGAAATCGAGGTAAATGAAATTGTCAAAATTACTATATTTATTGTAACTTTGACTTTGATTTGATATATTTTAGTTTGGTTTCAATTTATTTTTTGCCAGACTAGATTGAAGTGTCAAATTGGTTCTGATTATTATAAGCGGCGAAAATACGACTTCAGATAACTATATATCAAGAAAATTTTTAAAGAACTGAATTGCTGAATATTACTGTCATATTTAGGTTTCCTTCTTTTCGAAACACTTCATATTCATTGACTGCTTTATTATATTTACCCCAAAATATTAATAAAAGATAATAAACAACAATTTGGATTTTGTCTCATCCCTCTGTAATGACTAAAAGTATTTATAAACGACCTTGACCTAGAGTAACTTTAGCATGTAGTACTTTATTATAAAATAATTGCATGCCGCTATGCAAAAATATTTTTTAATGTTGAAAAAGAAAAGCAAGACAAGCTACATCAATAAAAAAGCAAATATACAAAAATATAATTTATACATACAAGAAAAATCAAAGTTTGTTTTATAGCTATACAATTTAAGATTGTTTTTGTTTTTTCTTTCTTTGATACTTTTTCAATAGTAACTTATACCGTAACGTCTATTTTTAATATCTATTGTGAATAATTTCGTGTAAATATAATAAAGCAATTAACAAGTTTTGGAAATGTGGAAAAAAGTTGGAGCTTGATGAAAGAGGTTTTAGGTAGATTTTAAAGGCAGGCTAAAAACGAAACAAATATGGTATCAAATATAGAACTCATATTCATAGTCTAAATCTGAGATTTCGAGATCTGATAACCCCACCACAACAAGCTTCTCGTACAACGTGTATAGCCTCTACAATGGACTTCTCATAATACTAAAAAAACTAAACATACAAAGATTTAAAAGGCAACTAAAGAAACTACTGCTTAGTGAAAAATAGATTTCCGTACCTCAATCGAATTGCTCCTTCTTAATCTAGTACCTGACGATTACTATTAAAAAAATATATATTGCACTTTATATTTGCCGGTATCGCACTATGGTTGAAGCTGTTGTTTTTATGTTATCATTAAACTCGTCGGTTCTCTCCTCAAAATTACAAGATTACACGGATTTTTGTTGTATTCGTGGAGGTCGAATCGGTGCGAGAATATTCTGGGGGCATATAATATGATTAGTGATTGCTAATATTTCAGCTTTTTTGTTTATATTGTTCCCAAAATTTTCAGTTAATATCTCTGACTGGGTAAATTTGTTTCATATATATAACTAAGCAAAACTAAATATGTATTTGTACAATTTGACCCTTCAAATGGCGACTGCCATCACGCACGCAGTGCACTTTAATTTTTCCGGTACCAAAACGCAAGAAATTGTCATATCTAGGGAAAAGTTTAGAATTACTACGACCAGACCCCAATACAGGAAAGTTCATACACTGTTGACCATAGAATTTAATTCACTTGAAAATGAAAAAAAATCTCTCCTCTGTGATACTATGCTTTTTAAATTGTAAGCTAGGTAAGATTTAGTGGCTGAGACTTGAACAATTTAATTGCCTCCCAGCTCCCTTTTGCATCATTTTATAAATATATAAGATGCAAATAAATGTATTATTATAATATATAATAAATATCATTGAATGTTCGTTGTTACATTTTTAATGAGAATTTGGTATCAAAAACGGAATGGAAATCTGACATTTTCAGAATCCCTATCTCCTGACACCCATTACGTCAAACCTCCGATTCAATATCCCCAACCGAAAGCTCCGACGAACCGCTTCAATAACATTCATCCAAGGAGCGAGTCCTCCAAGGATCAGAGACCGGAAGAAGAATATCTGGCGCCTGGGTTTAGGTCCAAGATGGCAGGACACGACGTGGAGGTGGTCGCCATTAAACCAGACATATCACAGCCTGACACTACGGGGGTTTACATCATCGCTATCGTGGCAGGGATAAGCGCTGCTGCGACGGTTGGTTTAATCGCCGTCGGAATTGGTTGGTACAAGTAAGTATTGCCAAAAGTATAAATGTTAAAATTTTGCAATAGCTGAATGATAAACATGGTTCGAACGACACCTACCATGATTTTCAGATTTATATAACCGATTCAAACGATTTCGTTCTCTTTTGCTCATTTGATGGAGTTCTTTTTAATATTAATTTACAACTTAATGATAACAAATTGACAATATCGGAAAGAGGCAAAATATCACTCAAAGGATGCTTTTAGGCTAAACTTGAATTTTTTATACCAAGTTAGACAAGATAACAGTTTACATGAATATTTCAAGCAAATAGCCTAAATTATTTATTTATTAGTTCAACTTACAGGCTGATTACCCAATAACAAGTTGCAATTAGAATATGCTGAAAAAGTTTCGGTCAATTAAAGTAACTCACTTTAATTAGTAACATTTGTAATAAGTTTTGTAAAAATTTTGCAAACAATGTCGTTTGGATTAGTAAATATATCTATTTACTTTCGATTATGAGACGTTATCATTGTCATTATTGGAGATTTCAATTGATAATTAATTCTAGCGGTACTTTTGATGGTTAAATTCCTCTAGCCTTTTCAAACAGAGAACTTATTTGGAAAATTGAATTGAGGTGGCTTTTACTTGATGAAAATCCATTTATCAAAATAAATAAGAAATTGTTTCGACAACACCGTGTCTTTATCAAATGACACATTTGACTCCTCTATTATGCAGTGATAATCTTTTCAGTCGTAGACTACAATAAAGAATTTTCGGGGTCTAAACAATCAATTAAAATTCGCAGTACATTATAATAATAAATCCTCTTCGTTATCAAAAATCAATGTTTTAAAACTTTTTCTTGCAATTAGGTAAAAAATATAGTTTTAAAATCCATTTTTAAATTGATCAATTTAGGAGCTTTATGTAAAAAATAATGACGTAAGAACTGTTGTTTTTTAATCTATTAGTACCATTTAGATACTTTAAAGATCTAATGTTTTTACACAAATCGTACCGAAGTTTAGAGACTCTGGTTAAAACTCCAGTTTTACTCGAAGTTTCAAATGGGGTTTAGATTTTAGATTTGTTGTTAGATGGTCGTTTTAAACTTCTTGCTTTTTCTTTAGCAGTTATTGTATTAAAACGTATATACTTGCATTTTCTTTATGTTTTATTTTCGGCTTCGCTTGCGTTTTTTTTTTTGTTAGTGTCCTATTTATGATTTATCATAATTTTCATTATTATTATACATTCCATCATAATCCATCATAAGAATTGCTTTTTGTTTTGTTCTCCTCGCATAAAGGAAGCCTCAGAATTCTCGTGGCGGACGGTTTATAGAGAGTTAATAATTAAGAAAAGAAATTAAAAAATAAAAACGAGGCCACAAACTGAACTCAATACACCAGATATAATAACAAGTAATGGGAACGATATAGAAGAAAAAGATATAGTAAAGGCAATCCAAAAATTAAAGAACAGAAAGAGCCCGAGTCATGATAACATCACAAAGAAGGTACTTAAGTACGGCTTTAATCAAGAAGATTTTCTCTCAACATAGAATAACAGATGAAGGGAGCACTAGTGTTATGCTTCTCTTATTCAAAAAGGGAGATAAAAAAACCACTACAGAGGCATACATTTATTATGTGCGACCTTGAAGTTAACTACGAAGATAATAACGAACGGAATTAATGAATATATCACACTAGCAGTAGAGCAACAGGGATTTAGATCAGCAAGATCCTGCACAGATACCACCTTTGTAATAAGACAGATAATAGAAAAATCAATCGAATACAACGAACCAGGCTTCATGTGTTTTATTGACTTGCAGAAAGCCTACGACCGAATACATTGGAAAGATATAACACACCTTTTTTACGATCGACAAATTCCATTCAACATCATCAAAATAATTGAAAATATAAACACGGAAAATAATACACAAACAAAAATAAATGGCAAATAATGGCATTCGGCAAGGGGACTCATTAAGCCCGCTTCTTTTTAACATCGTAATGGATGCAATAATAAAACAAGTTTACAAACTAAGAGGATACAAAATAGGAAATAGGGAAGTGGAAATTCTGGCTGTGTAGATGGTCTAATCAATCGCGGTATCAAATTACTAAAATATCAAAAAATATCCCTACAGCAAAAAAAATTAAAATGAGGTTATAAACAACAAAAGTGGCGTAAAAAGGAACGCGAAAATTTAGAGATTGTAGTTTAACTGGCATTCAATCCGCCAGTTGGAGTTTAATCTGAAGATTGAAGTTGATAGTATTTGTTGCATCAGGGTTGTTCGGTGGTCTGTGGTGTTCATATTCTATGGTCTTGAGAGGTTAGAATGTGGGACTCTCGGCCTGCTATCTCGCGCGCTTATGTCTGAACCTCATGACGCAGAAAAAATAAAGGACTTGTAGTGGAGTTCTCTTTTAGTATAAAAAGCTTCCAATACGACAGTATTGTAGGTACTAGTGTTCAGTTTAAGTGAGACCTTGGCAAAAATCCCCGAAGGTATATAAGTGGCCCTAAAACGGATGATTGGTTTTTAACGTTTTGTAAGTAAACTAAAGGTATGTTAAAGATTTAAGCTGTTTTTCTATATTATGACTGATCCTTTATATTAATATTGCGGCTTATAAACTTAGTCAACCATAAAAACTAGCTAGTAAAAGCTTTATGCGTTCAACAATTAACATGGCAGCTAACAGTTCCTCGATTCGATAGTTCTCACGATTCAAATGAAAAACAGCGCTAAGTGTAAGTACTGTGTAAAAGTGAAATAAAATATCCTTAATTACACGCGATGCACCTTATAAATCTGCAGCAATGATACAAAAACGATTTTAATTTTTATTCTTCTACCGACGATTTTTGACGACAAAATGAAAGATTTTTCGAAAAGTGAACTACTCGAATCTTAAGTCGGGCTGTTCTCTCAATACGGCGGCCGCCTTCTCAGCCGTTAAATCTCTTTGCGATTGCGCTAACATCTCGTACCCGACCATAAATTTCTTCACGCTCGCGGACCTCAGCAACGGAGGGTAGTACAATCCGTGAAAAGTCCAATGCGCTTGGTTTTCTTTTAACTTCTCACCGGTAGGTGCTCCGTGCCAGCCCATGGAATACGGAAAATTACATTTAAATATATTGTCATATTTCGCCACTAATGTCTGCAAAGTTTTCGCCAAAGTTTCGATTTGCGCACCGTCCGCGTCAGTAAAACGTTGGATCTGCCTTTTCGGCAGCACCATAGTTTCGAAGGGCCAGACAGCCCAGTACGGAACTACCACTATCCACTCTTCGTTTTCGATCACTATTCGTTCTTTATTTTGCAGTTCTCTTTTCACGTAATCTTGCAGCATCGGTCTGCCGTGTTTGTCGTAGTATTTTCTTAAGTTTAGCTCCTTAATCCTTGGCTCGTTAGGTAAAAAGCTGGACGCCCATATCTGGCAATGGGGATGGGGATTCGAACAGCCCATCATGGCACCCCTGTTTTCAAACAGTTGCACCCAAACGAACCTCTTACCTAACTCTCTAGTTTGGTTTATCCACTCTCTGATAATGTCTACCACTTGCCCAAGGGACAGGTTAGTGAAATAAACATCGGAGTGCGGATGGTAACAAATAACCCTGCAAGTGCCCTTGGCGGCTCGGGTTTGGAACAAAGGATCATCGGAATGTTCGGGTTCAGGGCCCTCTTCTAAGAGAGCTGGGAAATCGTTGGTGAAGACGTACGTGGACTCGTACTTGGGGGTTTGAATTCCGGAAGCCCTAATGACTCCAGGACACAAAGGATTGCTCGGATCGAATCTCGGTACTTTTTCCACGGCAGGTTTTTCGGTTTGGCCGGTCCAAGGGCGCAACGCGCGATGTGGAGATACCAGAACCCATTCATCCTTCAACGGGTTGTATCTTAAATGCTGATGCTCTGAAATGAAAAGCATGCCCCGTGGTATCTAATTCACCGCGACAACGTTATAATATAGGCTTTTTACAATGAAGATAGACATTTGGTCAAAAAAGATAAGCGAGTCGTTCTTAGATCGTTAATAAAAAATACAACAATGGACAATCTTGGATTGAGTTTAAGGAAATAAGAAATCTTCTCAATATCTCAAGGAACTTCTGGTGTGTGCTCAGATCATGAATCTTTGCATTGGATTTCGGTCAAATGTTATGAGTGGTCAGAAAGTTTATTAACAAATACTACTCTTTTGGAAATGTTGTAAGATCTGTGAATCATACATCGACATTCACCATTGTGGTCACTAACGTAGTTGAAAAATTAATATATCAAGTTATTGATATAACTCTCTTATCTCATATGATTTATATTATCTATAAGTGTTTATTAACCCCTTAATGCCCGTTTTTTTTTAAATCAATTTCGGTACAAAAAAAAATCATTTATTTTTTTTGCAAAACTTTTTTTTATTAATAGTTTAATTGTGTATGGTAAATTTTAAAAGAAAGTATTACGCTGAGTTCCAAGTCACACTATAAGGTACAGTCTTTTTCCAGTTGGAGGAATAAAGTCAGGAAAATGTCGTTCCTTTAGTCGTAATAGTCCTATATGTTTTTGTTGCCCTGCCTTGTCGACGTTTGTACTCAGGTGATATTTTTCTATCATCTCTTCTATGAGTTTTATTCTGTATTCCAAATTATCCATCCCTCCTCCATTCTTTTTGTCCAAATCCCCCGTTTTTTAGTTACATAATCATTTCTGTTGATCTAATCTATCGACGCCTCCCATGGTGTTATTGCAATCCACAAATAATTTAGGTTTCTTTATGGGATTTTTTAGGTTATTTTCGGGATTGTGAATTGTCGAGAAGAGACAAATTTCTTTCTTGTCATGCCACTTCATTACAATGACTTTTTTCTTTGAAATGCTATAGATTTTCCTTTTTTAGTTTTTTTAGTCCCAAGGGATATCCCATATCTAGTAGAGAATCTGTTAATGACAATACGACCTGTGAAGTCATATATTTTTGGGATATTTTAGTTCCTTTTCTAGTATAAATAATAAACAAATACAAAGACCCTGTTTTGTACCAACCCAATTGTCCTTTGTAAAATAACAAACTTTCAACTAGACTTATGTCTCGTTCAGATATATAAAATGTACTAAATTTTCTATTTAGAGCTTCATAAATAGGCCAAATTTTGTTTAGTTTAGGATTCGGATGAGTATGACAGTCATGCGGTTCATTATCAGAAATATGTATTTTTTTTATGTATAAATATCGACGTATAGACATTAGTTTTGGAAATATGTCTTTAGCTATCCAGTACATTCTTCTGACTTTTTTAGTATTCCTTGAATTATATTTATATAAAAAAATATTTGCATTTTCTCTGATTTTATATTCAATAAAACATAAGACGACCTTCGTGGTTGTTTTTCTGCATAGCGATTAGATTCGGTGACCAATAAGTTTCTCAATTCATTATCAAAAAAGACTGCAAAATTATCTGCATTGACTGTACAACTTGGGACGCCAATAAACTGGAAACGTGGTGGCGCCGAATATAAGATATCTGTTTGGTGATCATCCTCGCTTTCCTACAAATCCGATTCTACATCGCTATCGCCACTTCCGCTTTGATAAATTGGCATATTCAGAATCTTCTTGGACAGACATTTGACTGAACAAATTTTTCTAAATAAATTTCTAAATATTCAACAATAAAAAAAATCTTACTGAGGTAAAGCGTAAAACTTATTCTAGCAAAATGTCTTGGGTTTTCTAATATCACTTGCATATACTATACGTCCGCACATGAAAAATGTAACTTTTAGAATGATAATGTGAGTCATAAAAATCTGGCTCCAGTCTTAACACAAGAAAACGCAAATTCCGAGAATGGCAATAATCTACCACCCAACGCGACAGATACGGACTTAAAATATTTGGAAAATTATATTTCCATATTAATCAATATTTTGAGACATATGTATAAAATTACAGTGATCGTGACGTTCATGAAGCTGCAAATTTCTGCCGGTAAACGTTGCATTAAGCGGTTAACAAATGAATTTCCCAGTCTATCGGTAAGATCTTCCTGAGCAGAAGTTTATAATCTGCTTCAATTTCATTTAACTGCTGGTGTCTTATCAAAGGAAAAAATTAAACATTGTGAGAAACCGAAAATTAAATACAATCTGGTACGAAATTTTTTTACCGATTATCGCTCGAGACTGAACTAAGTAAATAATATATCTTTTATGCAAATAATGAAGAATAAGTTATTCTTTCGTTTGGTTTATTTAAAACACTAAATAAACAAATTAGAATTAGAAACATATGCATTGTATAATGGTATGTCAACACAGGAACCAGAATTATACTGACATTAAAGAATTTATCGGCACGCCACTGTCATGAGAACATTTTGTCGAGTACTAACAGAAAACATTATCAACTAAACAAATAAATAATTTGTTATCGCAGTAGCGCTTTATCGCTATAAAATATACTTAACAACCATTAGAAGGATTTAACTGGCTTCGTCAAGCATAAGCTAACCTTAAAAAACTTACCGTTCGGATTGAATGTCATGTTATTCCCTGTTTCACGAATAGTCGTCTATCCTTTGCTAAAATTGCGACCGCGTTTCCTTATGGGCCTGTCAATAAGCTAACTTCCTAGTAGTATGGCGGCAAATATAATTCTCAAACGAACTGCAGCACTGTTTGCACGTTAGTGATTGGAAGATATTCTAATCCGTTTGCTGATAAGCAGTGGCGCGGACAATCTAGGTTAATCTTTAAAGTAACCAATCACTCTCGATCGTTTAAGTAATTTCGTAATGTGAATCGGGTTATAATTTAGCTGTCAAAATGCACGTTGTGGTTTAATTATTTATTTAAAGTAAATAAAGTGAAATTCTATTAAATTTAAAACAGTATATTCCAAATAGATAAACAAACATGTTATAGGTTAGGATCCTGGCGCTAACGAAGAAGTTACCTTCCGGGAAGAAATTTCTACTAATATCATAGTCCGTCTTATTATGCGCTCAATTCCTTCTTAGATTAAGATACTTATGCCTTTTTGTTCAAGCCGTCGCCATCGATTTTCGCTATCCTGAAAGTTAATTCTACGTTAATCAACATCAACACCATATTCAAATATTACTTCATTAAATTTATTTTACCTTTGCGTATTTAATTGAAGTTGAAATAAAGTACCGCGAAGGTTTAATTTGGCGTACCTCCAAAATATGAAACCAAGGTTTTAATGCATGCTGCAGAACTCCGTGGTATTTTTTTGCTGGTTATATTTTTAAATGGTGCTGAACTTGCCTTGTCCCGCATATCAAACCGCTTTTCGTAACTTCTTAACTTTTCGGTCGATATTAAATTTGATTTATTGTGCAAACTTAATCGCACAGCTTGTCCTAAAACTTCCTTGTACGTCAAAGCCACAGAACGAAGAAGCGCGCTAACTTTTCAAACTTATTATAAGCCGATAGAAATGAAAAACAGCGAATTTGTTTGACATATCTTGGAGGGGTATAAGTCCTTTTATTTGTGCCTCTAATTATAATAATTATATTTTTGGATTTGTTAAAAAGTGTTATCTCTTTCTTGTCTTTTGTTGTCTCGTTAATATTTTGTTAAGTTTTTATTTATAAAGTTTATAAACTGTTGTTTCAATTACAGTCTATAAGGCCAATGATATTTTTCATTCCAGTATTGATGATCTATTCTCTTTATTGTACAGTAAAACAGCAATCGACAATATATGAAGACTTTAAATGCAAAGTTACAGTGTCGCAACGGGCTTCCAATGCAGTGGACGCTATAAAAAGGTGAAGAAATATTTCTGGTACCCGACATTGTTTTACTTATTTTAATCCAACAGAGGCAAGGTGCAACATTTATAACAGATAACGCTGACGTATATGATTTATCAAACTAATAAAAAATGGCATGATATCAACCAATACCGCTGAGTAAATGCAGAACTTTTGGCACTATAGTGCCCTTTGCCAAAAGAAAAACGCACAACCTAAGAGCCAAATCTTTAGGGCGACATGAATGTCGTCACCAATATATAACAAAAAATACAAAATTTGTAACAAAAAATAATGGCTTTATATTGTCTGAAAAATCTGTAAAATCTGTAAAAACAGATCTCGATAGCAATAAAGTATATTAGGAAAAAATAATTACAGCAATATCAGATACTATTTCTCTACAAATATCGTTTTAACGCTTTAAATAACAAATTTCAGCTATTCTACCCTTAAAACCGCAGTTACAGTTTTATCTTTAATTAGGTTCAGAATTCCTAGACACAAAATAGAATCAGTGAAGTGTACAGTAACTATTGTGATTCACTCAAGCCGAAAACTTTGTCACAGTTCAAAAGAGCCTTAAAAGAGTCTCTCTTATCAGAACAGTGTGTATCAACTAGAGAACAGTAATTAGAATTAGTGCACGTTCACTCTGTATAAAATGTCCTTCGCATCTCGTGGAACTTCAAAGTTACAGCAAACATCGGTAAATATGAAAATTTGCACAAATAACAGCGTTGTCGAATAATATTTTTTCAAATATGTCGCGCCCTGTACAATTGACGAAACCTGAAAGTCTCTCTCGGCACAGTTTACGATACTGTTCAAATAAAATTACCCCATCTTTAACGGTTTTTCATTAATTAATTAATTACCCCACAAAAACGGAAATTTTTAGGATCTTTTAGATTTTTTACCCATAAACGACACACCCTGTATATGATTCAAACAATGTTCGAAGTAGATAGGTGATAGTCCTTGACCTTCCACATTTCCTGGTTCAAGAATTTTTTTAAAATAGTTTATGGTTTTCGAGAAAATTAGTTTTTTCTGAAACCATGCAGTGCACCATAATAATCAATGACGTCATCTCGTCTTGACAGCCCCCGAAATAGCGGGATATGGATTTTTTCAAATATCCCGAGCAGCTTATGTGATAGACGAAAACCGCGGTTAATAATTTACTCTGTAAAAGAACAATTTTCCAATTCTTTTAGATTTTTGCCTATAATTTGAAAACCCTGTATATAATCGAAAAAATGCTTGAAATAAATGTTATTGCACTGGATCTTCCGTGTCTGTTGGTTAAAGAATTTTGCCGGTCGGGTGAACGATTATGGTGGAAAACATATTTTTCTAGAAGCTGAAATTACCAAAAAAAAATTCAAAAATTTTTAAAAAATACTTGATAAAGTTTGATTGCACCCAATTTCTTCCGTTTAAATGTGGACACTTCTCTGCTAAATTTGAAGTTGATATGTGCAAATTTAGGACACAACACATTTCTCATTTAGCAAGGAATATCGGGAACACCCTATATAATATGTGAAAACCTTAAATACAAAAGTTCTTGCTGTCTAGGCAGGCTATATCGCAATATAAAAGAAAGTGAGATCTTTCAGCTATAACCAATTTTCAATAATAGGGGTACCCATTTTCCAGTTTTTTTGCCGCACTTTTCGGACACTTATCGTGTTTCATAGCAATGCCCAAAAGACAGTCGAAAATCGCGGAACAAAGATGGATACCGGCGTCGGATCAGGGCCATTTCTTATAAGCTTATGTGCCTCGTGTAGGGTTAAAAAGGATTTTGTAGCTCCAACAGTTCAAAAGTTATTCAGGAAAAACTAAAAGACGAGAACGGAGAACGGAGAACAGACAGGCAAAAAAAAATTTTTTTTCGACGGTGATCATTTCTGTACCAATGATGATCCCATGAGACCCACCGTTACAACAAACAAATCAATATAAGTCTATAATTCAAAGCTATTTGTTTCATTAATAATTATTAAATTTTTATATTTATGTATTCTATAGATGTTTAATTTATTTGTGTTTTGTTGATTTGTACAGGAAAATAAAGACCATTTTTTTAATTAAACGAATATAGACAGTTTAATTAATGAACTGAAATAATACAAGCACAAAATTGCTAACATTTTGCTATATCAACACGGTATAGTTATTTTCAAATATCAGAAATTGGACACCTGGTACAATTTCAAGCGTAAAATATTTTTCCTAATCGATCTTTTTAGAGCACATGTGGATAAATACGGAAACAACCCCTAGTTATCGACGCGCTTGAGGGGATAATGTGTTTTTTAGGAAAAGAAGGGCAACAATAATTGAGAGGGAAATCCCCTTTTATAAGTAAAAATAATCGTTCGGTCGACATGTGGAACTCGTTGTTGCCAGGTTTAACACCGCGGGGGTATTTGTGGAATTTGCGTCATCAAATTTTAAGGTCGATTTAAAGATGGTGAACCCCGATCGTTGAAGTCTCATCCGCCGAGAATTGACAACCCTGCGTAAAAAAAGTCATAAAACTCAGTTTTAGCACGGCTCCCGCCGTCCTTTTAGGTACTTTTCCGCACTTTCCATTTTTCAACAAAGACAGGCATAAAAATGATAGCAGTCCCTAAAACTGTGCGACATTAAAAGCCGCGCGTAATTGTTTTTGTTCAGCCTGGAATACGGAAGAGCGTTTAATGTGGCAACATTGGAATATACCTTGAGTACACACACCCAACGCATTTAGCTCGGAAATAATAGTCATTTTCCCTTATAGGTTCCACTTGAAAAACTCGAAAAAAATTACTTTGACCGATTTTGACATGAGAATCCGTAAATGTTAACACTCCAAAAATTTATAAACGAGTCAGTTGTTCAATCACAGTTTAATTATTTACATTTTCCATATGCATTGATTTGGTCAAAAATTTACTGATTTGTTGATTTTGATCCCATGAGGTAGGGTGGGTAAAAAGGAACACTCTATTTTTATCAAATTTCGCAGATGGAGGTGGTTAAAACGGCAGTAGGCAGTTAATTCCCAGATTTAATGTCTGGATCATGTATAAATCCTAAAAAAAAATCGGAAATTCTGTATTAATCATCTTGTGGTCTAAAGTTTAGACTCTAAACCATCTTTCGATGTAAATATTCCACTCTTTTGGTTTTCTTTCCATTGGTCTATTACAAGACCTTCAAGTTTGTTCCCAAAACTTGAAGCATGAAACATGAAAAATCATTTAGCCAAATAATTTTTATTTTTGCCAAATAATAATAAAATCACAACAAACTTCGTTAAACGGCAAAGTTAAAGTGCTGAGTAAGTATGCATTCTGTGATTTTTCAGCACGAACTTATTTATATTGTGTTCAAATCCTACTAAATCCTAAACCACTTTCAATTCGAACAAAGACTTAGCCATCATTAATTAATTAAACTGAGCTTCATGATACCAAATTTGGTCGTATAATTAATCATTCTTGATTTCCTATTACTTTTCTTTTCTTTTTTTTTAATTATTCTATTAAAGCTGAATATAAACTTTTTCTTATTATTATCCAGGAATAGCAATAGAATAATTATGTGTATTCTGTAAATTGTAAATTTGAGCATTATGAAATAAACAAATAAATAAATAAACAACTAAATAAATGGGATTAGGCTGTGGATTTGCATTACTGACCACAAAAATCATAGATCATAAAAATCATCAATAATTAAAATATCTTTCGATGTTTTCCTATGTCAAATTTACAACTTTTTTTATATTGGACTATCGTAAGTCAGGTAAGTTGATGGCCCATTTCTTATAAATTAAATAACTTATTTAATTCTTCATTCTTATAATTTAGGAAAATATTTTGTATTTTTGCTAGATAATA